CATTTAATAAATCACTTGGAAAATAACTGTACTGACACGGATTACTTAATAATCGAGCAATTTCCATTTAAGCTCCGTGTAAATGGAAAGAGGATGGTTGACAGAAATGAATAGTACTTTCAATCCATACTGGATTCCTTTATTGATCAGGATAGTTGGGAAGTCGACATGATGCATTTGATACCGAATAATGCAATATTGACGATAAGTATTTAGCTGAAGTGAGCGAAAATACATTCATTTTAACTGGTCCATATTCTAATCTTTGACGAAAGAAAAAAAAAGGTCTATAGTGCACTGAAACTAGACGAACCTTCTCTATCTGGTCAGAAGTGCACTATCTGCTCAGAATCCGTTTTCACTCCTTCAATGCGAACGTACTTTATTTTCAATCTAACAGGTACATGAAACCTGGACTGATTCGGGATTGGCGCTGCTCTTTTTAACACGACGTTGCAAATTTTCCTTGCTAGTATTACAGAGAATAAAGACAAATGCCATAATTAGTAAGATTGTAAACCACTCCGTCAATATTCTAGATTTCAGTTGTAGATGATTCCCCCAACAGTGAGACAATTTTTCTTGTAGATCCCTCTCTGATGTCAGCTTCCTTGAGCAATATGGTAACACAATTATATCTCTGTGCTTCATCCAATCCCAGTGCCTACCACAGCTGTCGTGTTGGATTCAAATTACTGAGAAATACTGATAACTATCTTTATCCCCTCTACCTAAAACCCCCTTTTTGTCTCCAGGCTTTATTTCACAATAATATCGCCTCTCGATTGACGGGGACGATATTTCGAGCACACGGTATTTCTCAACGATTTAAGAACTGCGTTACTTGAGAAACAAAAAAGTGTCAAATACTTCATTCTGGTTTTGTTAAGTGTGAATTATATCTCCCCATCAGGGCATCGACTTGATACTAGTATACTGATCCCGTCTTAAGGGGGCACTGATGTCTGGAGTACCACATGAGGTCCAGCTGCACTACTGAATAATCGGTAAGAGTGCCTCTAATCACACAGCTGAGTTAAACATTGTGGTCTGGCTCCATCCGAAACTCTTCCTCTGTACTGTGGTCTTCCCAAGGCACCAATATGAACCAGATGTGAAATCTCACTGGGTTAAAATATCAGAAACGTTTTAGTTGGGGGAAAAAAAGGAGAAGCTAGAAAACAGTAAGATAGCTGATGAATGGAGGTGAGATAAAGAAAGCAGTGGATTAGGATTTGAGAGCGAAAGGGCAGTGGATTATAAAATGAAGCCAAGATCAAGAAAGAGCTCGGCAGTTTTGAGGCCCTGGTAATGAATGCGTTAAAGAGCCAACGGGGTTTTGTTTTGGGAGGGGTGGGTTTAATAACGAGAAAGGGGAAATGCTGCACTGCTGAAGTTGATGTCTTTTACAAAGTCGGTTGTAATGGGTTATATTCAGGTAAAAGCTTAGCGCACTTCAGTTGCCATAGCGACATATGTGCTGGCAGCGGTTGTCCATTTTCGAGGGTCTGACGGGATAGCATCTGCGCAAAAAAAAAACCCTGGCGCTAGGTTAGTACCTCACACTCTGTGTATGGTGGAAAGTGAAGAAGCTGTGGGCAGAAAAGAAATGGAACATTTCAAAAACGAGAAACCATGCGGTCTGTTGTCGGCTATAATGTTTCAGCCACAGTCACTGGACAGTTCAATACGCACAGACCATAGGAGTCCATCACTCCCTGGCAATGATTTGTAGATTTCTGTGTGAACAAGAGAAAAGCTCTTTACAGCATAACTCAGCATATCCCAAGGCTTGTAAGGGTTTAATTTAGCGACTCGTAATACACCAGTCCAATGCCTGGCATTTGTCATTTTGACTTATGTAATCGTTTTATTATTGACATTTAGTGTTTAATTGTTAAATTTATTACAGTGTTTGTTTTCTTAAATAATATTTAAGTTTTATTTCAGCCATCTATTTATTGGCTTCCCAGATTTGAACCAATCAGGGTATATGGAGAAATATGTCTGACCGATTGATTTCAAATTTATGAAATTGATCAGAAATTGACAAAGTAGGAGGAGGAAAAAGGGATACAATGTGTGTTTAAGGAAGGTCGGATTGAGTGGTTAGTTCCCATTTATTAAGGCTGTTCTGTGGGCATAGAATTGATTTGTAATTGTCACTGGCGTGTTCCCTGGACGTGAAGCAAGTTTTACTGGTCATTATGCTATGTAAAGAGGTGCTCGTTAGAGATTTGTATCGATAACACGTCAAGGTTTGCACACGTAAGTTGAAGGAGTTTGTACTCAATTAAACTGTCATGCATTTATATTGGAATAAAGCAGAGCACATAACTCTACGGCAAGGTTAAATCTTAGAATTTCCTGGAGTCTCCGCCCTCAGACTACATTGAATACATAAGCAGAGTTCTTGTATCCAAGGGAACTAAGCTTTCAATATGGTCTTAAGAATTATTTAATAGATAATGGAATTCTATTTCTATTCCTCTCTAATCACATATTTCCATTTGCTCTCCCATTGTGTCTGTGTCTGCTTTTATTTTCCCTTCTCCAGTTCTTTGTATCTCTGTGTCTACTTATCCTGCACATTCCGATCTCAAACTTTCCAATTTTTTCCAGCTGTTCCCAGCCCATTTTAACGTCACTTATTCATACTTTGGTTTTTGCTTTCTCTGACACTGTGGTTTCCTGTCTTTTTTTGCGGTGCAGCACTATATTTCACACCATAAAGGGCGAAACCTGTTATTGTTAAAATAAAGTAATATTGTCATGTTTCTTGTCCTCAAACCAGGATATCTTCTTGTGTGATTTGTAGTTTTCTATCGAATATTCCATTGCGAACTCATCGAGCAACGAGTTGAACTGCAGTCTGTGCTACAAGTAGCTTTGAATAGGACGCCTGCTTATTTCAATAGGGACTGTGCCTAAAAGATGAACTATAAAGCAACAAACGAACAGATTAACTGAAGGACCCACAGACAAAGGGGGAACATCGCGCGATGGAAATTTAAGAAATGACTTGATGTTGTAAGCATTTCAAGGTTTATTTAAAAGCATTCCGAAAGAAAACTTGGGATTTTAAAATGGAATTGAACAAAGATAAGAAAGAAGTGCAAGTAAAAATGAGTAGGAGAATAATTAGTAGACAGTGATAGTGTTTTGTGTTTTACGCACACACGGCGCCATTTTGAGGCTGCATAAGGCAGACCTTGTGATCCTGATATTTGCAACATTTTCTGTGGAGCATTTCCGAGGCCGTACCAAATTCCTGCCTTTCTTGGGAAATACCATGACTAGGCAAATGCGTAATATGATTTATTTTTTATGTCACTCCGATAGATTTCTCAAGATGACCCCCCTCATTCATAAAGCAGCTTGATGCATGAGTTTAAGCAAAAAAAATTACATCTTGTAAATAAACCTCCCTTGGCAGAGCGAAGAGGGCGGGTGTTGGGGGCGAAAAAGTGGAGCACCATTGCGAATAAAGATGAAGTCTTGATCGATGTTGTTAGTTATTTTCTGGCCATTTGCACAAAGCCTTTTCCTCTCATGCTCTTTGTCGAGCAACGTTTTTCCTCATCTTAAGCTACAGTTTGGCCGCCATCTCTTGTACTGTCTCAGCTGTTCTTCTGGCTTTCGTTTCTATTTTTATTTCTAAATTTGATATCTAGTGCTCCAAAGTTTACGTTTTAATTTCCTCGCCATCTTTCCCTCTCGCTATTAGTTTCATCGCGATACTGTTAAACATCAGAGAGAACGTGGCAATTGCACCGACAGCATTCATTCCCAGACTCATCGGTGCCCCCAAGATTAGAGTCACTTAGTGTCAGTCCCAGCACAATAAATAGGAAGACTTAGGCAGGGGAAGGATAGCCGGCTGCAAAGAACACCCCTTCCCGTCATAAAAACAGCGCTGGTTGATTCGAAAGGTGAGCAGCATTGAGGCCATTCTATTCAACATGGGATAATCTGATGGGGAAAGGACATTAAAAATAGCGCATCGCACGAGCTAAATGGAAATTCAAGAAACCCCATAGCTGATTTAACAGTGAAATTTAAATGCCTCCATTCAGTCAGAGCAAAGAAGCAAATCCATTTGGACGGATAGATCCGGAATCACTCTGACACTCCCTCCCCCAACGCCCTTATAATGTGTCTTTTGTGTGTCTTTACATTTTAATGTCCAGTTTTATCTTCTAAGATATTCCAGTACAGTTTAAGTTAAATTTTAAATGACCATTCTGCACAATAAAATCAATTTCAACTCAAGGTGACCACTCTGCCCATCAAGCCTATAATAGTTCATGCTCCAGGTTGGCGATATCTACCAAATCCAAGTTCCCTCAGCAGTTACTTCTTCAGGTAGTTTTCTGTTGAATTGCTTTGTAACTTTAGAAGGTTGAGTGTTTTGTTTTCCCAGAAACTGGCGGAATCAGGGGGCTGGAAACCTCACCTCTCTGAGCTTGATTGGGGACCTCATCACTTTGATTCACAAATGGGTGGGGGCGGGGACAGAACGTTAAAAACAGAGAGAAATTGCATTAGCAATCAAAAATGCGGTTAGCTTTTAAGAATTTCATTTGGTCTATTCATTTCATTGAACCAACTCCAAGCGTATGACGACCCTTATATAATATACAACACATATCAATTGAGTGAACACCTTGTTTAGAGAGGAATTCGAAGGATGATAAAACATTTGGTTATCCATTCTGTTTGCTGCTTAAAGCGATAGGTTGGTACAATGACTAGATTATATAACACCTGCCATTTTACTATCCCTGATCTGGCGTGACAGATTCACGTAGGTACCTTCTGGTAGATATAAATACTATGATTTACTTCTTTCAAACACACGCGTTTTACGTATTTTTTGTCAGTTTACAGCGAACATTTCCTGCATGCGCTATTTCTGATCTAATTCTTGATGCAAATATTTCGAAAATAATAGTTATTAACGCTAACAGTCACCTTGAAACACAGAGAGTAAAGATTCATTAAAGAATTAAGTCGTTTTATTTAAACTATGAAAATAATGTACAATAAATAATTTAAAATTCACTTATAATAAATAGGCTACCGCTAAAACATAAAGTAAATCATCACAGTTTTTTTGGGACCCGTAAGGTAAAACAGTTTTGCTATAAATACAATCCCCGTATATGTTTTCCTGAGTTAGTGAATAAGGGGAATCTACAATTTTTTCACGGTTTTAACATAATTTAGGAAACTGAAACTGAATAAAACTGTATCTGTTTAAATACCTGTTCAATAAAGACTGCAATTCTTGTAGACTCCGGGTCAAGGCTGACGGATAAATTATTTACTGTGAGATCAATTCTATATTTTTCTTTAATATTCCATATTATTGTAATTTAAATAGGAAATACTGAACATATTATTAAACAAGGCTGCATTTCTACACGGGCCCTAAAGCTTGCGAATTGCTACTGATTATTAAGGTGTTGCAAGTCTATTGTGCACAGAGCGCTGGTGAAAAAATCAAAACTGTCCTCGGGGATATCCACAGGACTGTCGATGGAACCCTGCAAGCTGGGAGATAATCCATCGGAGAACGGCAGATAGGAATCCGAAGAAAACATGTTTAAATCTGCTAGGGAGACCAATTCGAGGGCCTCTGTACTAAGAGTGTCCAAACCCGAGGTACAAGTCTGGCCTATTGTAAACCCGTTTTCAGCACTGGCTGTCAGATAGAACGGACTCTTAGCTTTTCCGTCGCTACCGCATACAGCCAGATCCTGCAGGTTTTGGAGTTCTTTGTTAAGTGTGTGTTGAATTTGCTTTCTTGCTTGTTCGGCGCAGTTTTTACTGTCTAAATAGGTTCCTGATGCTTCCACGGTTTGGCTGAACAGCGACGACTCCTCGCCTTTGTCCTCTGGAAGCGAACTGATAGAAAAACTAACTTCCCCCTCTTGATTTTCTTTGTACTGCGCTTGCCTCTTGTGCTTCATGCGTCGGTTCTGAAACCACACTTTAACTTGCCTCTCGGTCAGGTCGAGAAGGGCCGCGATCTCCACTCTGCGTGGCCTGCACAAATATTTGTTGAAGTGAAATTCTTTCTCTAGTTCCAAGAGTTGCGTGTTCGTGTACGCTGTCCTGAGTCTCCGGGAGCTGTTGCTGATTTCCTGTTCACACTGGCCTTCTACCCAGAGATGTGTAACGAGAGAAAGCGAGAAAGAAAGAACGTGAGGAGAAGTGAAAGTGAATGTTTAACATGCACATTGAAAAGAATTGCGATAGCTTCTATTGGGCAGAAGCCATTCTTTCACAAATTAGATTGAAACTAGCCTTGTGAAAGCTTCTTTCCTGCAAGCGTCGATAAGATGCTTTATACTTTACATAAATAACCTCAACATTGACACATTCGTGCAGCAGAACGGATGCTTTCCCTTTCTCGAGTTGCTGGAGCTTTATAAGAGTTTGAGCAACATGGCCGCCGAGAATAAAAATATCAGAATCTACAATATTTCGAAATACTTTGGCAACATTACTCGCGTATTGAAACAACATTACATAAATGATTGCAATAAATAGGCATTTTAATACCAAGTGCTGGATCCTTCAGACAATTAGAAATGTTTTTCATAAATTAAGCAGCAACAAATTCCAGACTAATCTATGCTTTGTTGCATGTTGTCATGTACCCTCTAATTGGTTAGATACCATACGCTAAAGTTTGAGTTTTGTAAATTAGATGTTGTGAAAAACATTGCTTATCTAAACGATGCAGAGAAAGTCTGGGCTTTGGGGCAGACCTGTCGGAGACTCCGCCGTCTGAGAGGACCCAGGGACCGGAGCTGACAATGACAGAGGTGTCTCGTTTTTTTTCGACTTTTTCTCTTTCATCCACGGGAACTCGGCCGCGGCAGCAGATGGGAATAGGCCATTTGGAGGCCGCTGTTCGCGACTTGGCCGCGGCTGGTTGCTGCTGGGATTCAAGCTCGGGATAGTCTGCTCAAAAGGAGGAGGAATTAGTGTCGAGTGTGAAAGCGTCGAGTTCTTGATTGATGAACTTTGAAATGTATCAGCGACAGCAGGGAAGGACGTCAGGCATTCGGCGAGCGAAGGCTGGCTGTTAATAAAACCTATCTCTCGCTCCAATTCGAAATTCATGGCCTTCGTAATCCCAAATGGAAAAAAAAGTTATGAATATCGAGAAAAATAATATTTTCAGGCTTTAATTCTGTATCTCTGATATTACAAGGCGTATGGAGACCGACTCTATTAAACTGTGGACTAGATTGAAATTGGACCAAATTCGTTGTCACATGATTGGCGTTGCCCAATAGCAATTTGTTGTCTATGAAAAGAAATCATTATCTCTGCAATTGATCCAAAAAGTGAAGAAACAAATTATTCCACTTTATTTTACCGTCAGAATTTTAAAATTGACTTCAGAATTTTTGCAATCATTATCGTGATATTTCTTCGTTTTTAAGAAGCCTGAAAATTGATTTTTGCAAAAGAATTCTGCCAATTAGAGTATTTTGCAATTCAAGTGAAGACGATTTGCACCTAAAATCTGGCGGCTTAAGTAATTAACAAGGTACCTCATTAATCTTCAAAGTTTTGACAAGAGGGCCAGTAACAAAATAGAACTTTCACAAGATCAACCAGGCAGTTGCAATTTGCCTGTAGGAAAGTTCTAAACCCTTCAAATGGTTGTATCATTGGACACAATTCACTAAATGTGCTTTTTCTAATTATCGAACGGAAATAAATGCTATTACAGTAGTTTTACAAAGCAGTGAAGAGGGTTCTGAAACCAGGTAAGTATCTGATTTTAATTTGAGGAAGCCTTGAAATTATGAGAAAGTATTAAATAACTATTTTAACTCATTTGATCTATATCCAGAAGAAAGTTATTGCAACAGTTTTTTAAAATTAATTTATTTATCCATCGATCCATTAATTCCTCTATCCCTATGCAACCTTTTTAAACAGTTTTTTGGGGATTTTAAATTGTTTTGATCCAAAGGCTTACTTTGAAGTATGCAAGTTAGTTGAGAACTTATTTTCCCTGTTTACTTGTTTAGCAAAAACTCGAGGCTGTGTAAAATTGAGACATCCTTATTTTTGAAAAAGTTGTTGCAAGGTGTAGCTAGCGTGAGAGCTACAACAGAATTTTTTGTTTAAAAACTGAACCCAAGAAGGAACTGAAGGCGGCCTCGATCAATCTTTTCCCACAGAACAGCTTGACAGCTAAGCCTTGGGAGCAAACACTGAAGAATTCGCCTCCCCATATCAATTGCCAGGAAGCGAGATTGGCCTTCCTTTTTGACCATCTTTCTTAAAAAAAAGGCGAAATGCGTTTATTTTAAAATAAAACGTCCCAGAGATTAGTCGTGAATCATTGACTTAAAGAGAACCAAGAGACTACAAATGCAAACATATAGTTACAGGACAACAGTTTTAAGTTTTGAAGAGAAAATGTACAAAACATTGCGTTGGCTCATTTTGTAACCCCTCGTGGTAAAACATTGTGTGGGACGTGTAAATGACTTCGTGCGATGGGGGCCTAGAAACCTTTGTTTGTCAAAAAGTGTGTGGGTGCAAGTGTTTAAGTGAGGGCCCCGCCAGGCCTCTGAAATACTAAAACAATTCAGAACAGAAGAAATCTATCTCTATGTCTGCTCGAAAGTTACGTCAACGTTAGGATTTTAATTATATTTTTTAAACACGTTTGATCCAGCTACTGAAATTATCAACAGTTTTAACTGTTCAACACTGATTCACTGAGTGAGAAGCTTGACCCGGTAGATTTGACTGAGGAATAATTGGTTAAAAAGTGACGTGAGAAAAGCCTGTATGTAACATGGCGTGCGATTTTGTTTTGACTTGATGGCAGCGGATTTATTTTCATCGTGCGCGTGTCTTACAATTGTGTCTTTTATTCATAGTTCTAAAAATCTTTGATGTTTGAAATGTTATAAGGGGGAAGGATTTACGAGTTAAAATGCGATAAAGTTAAATATTGTTTTGCTGTGGTTTTGGAGTCCGTCCCTCTCTAACTGTACACGTATTTAAACGATTGCAATACAAACAGTGGAATAAAATTCTTGGCACTGGAAAACAAATTTATGATATATTAAATAGAAGTTGATATAAAGATTATTGCGGTGAGTTAAATAGTACCCAATGGTGCCAAAAATAAATTGGCTTCTAGTTGATGATAGTTTTATTTTCACTTGCGCGCTGAAGAACGCGAAATAATTGAAGCTTTTCTAAAGATCGCCGTCACAAGCAAAATGTATTTAGGTGTTTTTGTTTTGGGGGGATGTTTTCATCTGGGCGGCGAGAGGTCGAAAATCGAACAATATGGCGCCGAATCGTTTTAGCTCTGGTTGACATCAGCTGCAAAATTGTATTTGGAAAACCCTGGAGAATTGTTATACGATCTCAGGAAAACTTTCACACAGATCCGTGGCTTTTAAATGATCCATATCACTACGCATACGATTAGGAACTGATTGAACATTGCCTTTCATGTTGATTTCACAACTACAGAAAAATAAATTTCTTTTTAAATTCAGGTTTAGTGAAAATCAAAGGGTCAAATTATTAGGATTGAGATTTAAAATGGAGACCATTAGTTAAGGAAGTATTGACCATGATTATTAATACTTTTGCATTGGTTTAAGAAATTATGACTGGTGCCTACTGTAACTTTCGTTGATCATTTTTAGCTGCTGCTGCAGAAATAAGAATATCTGTGAACTTGTGTATAAAATAACGCAAATTGTGTTTTATTATAATATTCCATAATTTACTTGACTAAGAAAGAAATGTAACCTTTATTGCTTAAAGAATTAGTGTACCGATGATAGCCTTGTTAGAAGCAAATGTGTTTTTTGTATGATTAGATAACCAATATCACTCTGTGCTTTTCTTTCCCTGGATCTCTGATAGGTTAAGGCTATTGTTATGATGTGTGATTATGACTATAGTGTTTGAAGTGGTTACTACGAAACGCTTGCTTTGTACTGTTTAAGGGCATGGAGCACCTAATAAATTGACTTTTTAAAAGTGCAATAGAAGTTTTGTTAGAACAATAAACTTCTCAGCTATTTTCATTCTGCAGTTTAGTATCAAAAGCTGAATAACTGGGGTATCAAATTACATTTTCATGGTGGTTAATGTTATTTTCTCAATTATTTGCTAGGCTTTAGAGTTTACAGAAATCTTGAAATTAAAATCCATCCTCATACACAGTCGAATCTCATAAGATCACTTTATCAAATTAATTGATTGCCAGACCAAGGGAAAAAAAAATCTCATTTGGAATGGAATGAACTGGAAATGTGTGTGTACTTTGGCAGCCTGCTCATGCTTTGGTCTTTGTTTCTCTTGCAGATCCAATGACTGGTTTGCCCAGACAGCACGTGGTGTCTCCTTACACCGGATGGAAACTTTTTACCCCTTAATTCCTGAATGTTTGTGTAAGTCTCTGGACCTTGTTTGGTAATAAAGACATTTACAAGCTGGAAAAGTGCTTCATTCTTTAGCTTTGTAAGAGGCCTTATCTGAAAGCACTCTCCTTTGCACAAATCCCCTCCCCCACATTAGTATTAAAATAGACAAGACATGTAAGTTATTGGGCAATAAGCTATAAGCGAGGCTGTGCTGGTACCAGTGTGCGAAATATCTGTGTGGGAGAATGCAGACAAAAAGCTTAAAATGTATGATTTGAATAGTTTTGCAATCACAGTTGTCTATTTCTGAAACAGGCACTAATGTAAACAGACTATTAATTGTTTTGATGCTTGCATTATATTTGTATTTGATATATAAACCATACAACAAATTCTGTTAACAGGAGATTTATTCCAGAATTGTTTGACAGACAACTCTTAGCAAGGAAAATAACTACGAAGAAGGCAAGGAGTGTCAGAAAAGGAGGATTTGCTATATATTTCTAAATCATGACTATACAATTACTGCCCAATTCTGTTCCCATGCCTTCAATATAACTACATTATTTGTAGGTACAATGGTAGCAGAAAACTACATTCTTGTTCTAGTTTACATTAACTAAAATAAACTTGTTTACAGTGACATGAATACAACTGTGTCGACAGGTAAATACTAAAAAGTACAGATTTTAATTTTTTTATATAAATACGTATTGTTGGGGATAAATAATACAAAAAAGAAGAAATATTTTCCTGGCATAATCAATAAATATATCTGCATGTTCACCAGAATAGACACATATTGAAAGACGCACCAGCTACTCAGTTTTAAGATTCCTTCAAGGCCGGGTTGGAGTTGCTTGCCTCTTATGAGTTGTTTCACCCATTGAAATGTAAACAATAAGTGCAATACAGGTGTCCAAAGGAAATTCAGCATCAGCAAATACCCAAAATGTCTTCACTTTTGCTTTTTTTTTCAAAGGACAGAAGATTTGTTCATTTACCCTGTTTCACGTTGAGTCCAAAAAATAAATGTACAACCTCTAGGATTTTGCATTACAAAGTTTAATGAATCCTAAAGACTGTAATGGAGAGGGGAGGATGGTAAGGGTGGGGGTGGGGTGAAGGGACAGTGGAACGCAGTTGGTATACTCTATATAGGAGGGCTTAGTTCTGTGAAGGGATAACATAAGCAACATATATTAATACAAGTCAGTATACATGATTGAAAAAACATCAATAAGGGAGTGGGTCAAAAACCTATCATGAGAAAAGGAAAGGGTGACTTGTTGTTTACTTCTCTCAGTAAAGCTCCTGCTTGGACCTGCTACAGATGGGTCAGCTTTGGGGCTTCCTGAATTCTTCCCTGAGAAGGATGATGCGATGTAAGGTCTGTGTAGGTTGGATGTGGGTCACAAGGTCCATGGTGCTGATTGGGAGTCATCTGAGCAGCACCGTTGTAGTCCATGTTTGAAGATGCAGGGTGAGAAAGATGATTGAGGCCGAAGAGAGAAGGCCCCGAAGCGGACATAGAATCCACATAGTTCCCGCCAACGTATACAGGGCTACCCTGCAAGTTTGGTGTCCCATAATTGCCATTCCCCTGTAGCGAATGGGGATCGTATTCAGGAGCTGTCCCAGGATATCTTTTCTGTTGCTGAGCTGGGCAACCTTTCATCGGGTTTTGGTAACTTGTGGTCATAGCATAAGCGTTCTGATGAGGTTTATTGAAAGGCGGCGGTGAAGGGGCGTCATAGGCAGAGTTGTTCGCAAGCGGATGTATGGCGTTGACAAATCCGGTAGGGGCCTGGACGGGAAGCGGGGGGCTTCCCGTGGGCGATTGTCCTCCGGAAGAACTCACCATGCCTTTCGTTTTTTGATCCTTTTTGTACTTCATTCGGCGGTTCTGAAACCAGATCTTGATCTGTCGTTCACTGAGGTTCAGCAGGTTCGCCATTTCCACTCGGCGAGGTCTGCAAAGGTAACGGTTAAAATGGAATTCTTTCTCCAGTTCCACCAACTGCGCGCTGGTATAGGCAGTGCGCGCTCGCTTCGAGGCAGAACCCGGCGGGCTTTTGTCCCCACTGACATTTTCAGCTGTGAGCAATAAAATAAAGATAATCACCTCTTAAAAGTGCACCGATCTGAACAAGAAAATTCTCCACATAAATTTAATAAGTCTTGAAAGAAAAACAGTGTCCTCCCTTTTAACACATCAAGGCCTATCATTTCATATTAAACATTATTAAAAGTTCTATACCCCCAACACCAGCAATATGATGTAGGATCCCCAGAGCTCAGAAAATTGAATCATAATCATATTGACACAATGTTTAGAACAATATATTCCACAATTCAAGTGATACACTTAAGAGGACAGGGCAAATGCTGATTTGGAACGTAACCAACCTAATTATATTATTGTGACCCATTCAAAGGCAGATTTAGAATGGAAAACTGCAAGATACGATTTGATTAATATTGCTGTTTTTGATAAGAACACTAGTAAAAGCTGCGTTAGTATTTATAGGTTTGCAGCATTTTTGTAATTACTTGCAGTTTATTACTTCACTTTTTGATGTGTTGTCAACTTTCTGACTTCACAATCAACCAGTACGTGACCTTTCGGCATTCTGGGCTGTTTAGGAGCAGTAGCCCAGTTTGCATATTTATTGCATTAAATAGTAAAACATCTTTCAGTTTCAAATCAACATAATTATTTCAGAACTGGGAGAAGTGGCGGAAGGTTGTGGGGGTGGGGGAGGTTGCTGAGGGCAATAATCTTAAATTTTAACCGTGGGCCATCAAAGTGTTAACGATGTACAGCCAAAAGCTTTACGTGGCGCAGATATTTGAAATTCGTGTTTTTAATGCTTTGATTTAATAACAGTGCAGCCTTTTAATTTGATGCTTGGATTCCTAAAACTGCAAAAAGAAAGTTGGTGTACCTGTGCTGGGACAGTTGTTATTTTTTTGCTTGGAGTTTTGCCGTGACTCTTTCATCCACGGGAATATCTGCTTGGTGAGGCTGGGAGTGGACGTGTGGGAAGACTTGGGCAGAGTCTTGCTGGTACCTGGTTGTGTCGAGTTGCTGCTGGGGTTTTGAGGGGGTGAGACAGGTGGACGTTGGCGATGCTCGGGGAGATTCGAACGCATGCAGCTCCCATTGATGTCTTTAGATTTGGGATGTGGAACACTAGTGCCAGCTGTCTGAAGGGAACAGGCCGACCTCTGAAAATCACTTTCAACGTGAGAAGATGGTGGATAGGGTTCCTGCGCCACTTCATAGCTGAAGCCATTTGCTCCCTGGTATGTGTATCCACTGAATAGAGTACAGTTGTCGTAGTATGTCGTTTTTTGCATCTCGCAGTTTCCCAATATTTATTTCACAAACTGTCAGGGTCCTGACACCCTTATCGAATAACATTGGCACCCCAATTCACGTGACGTTCTCTTCCAATAGCCTCCTGGCAGTTGACCTAAGGTTAGAAGAACCACAGAATAATAGTGGAACGTGTGTGAATCCATCTTACATACTCAAAAGCAAATGACATGAATAGCGTTCACCAAACAAGCACAGCAGATGCCATGGCTAGTCTTGATTCATGGCTATTTTGGACGGGAGAGGAGGACACGTAAAAACACACACACTCACTTGCACTGAGTCCTAGAAGAAAACTGAAAAAAAGCACATAGCCATCTGCAAAACTATTTTAATAGAGATCAGATTCAGCATTAGCTCACTGCTAAATTCTTTTGGTTTAGGCAATGTTCCAAAAATGATAATTATTTATGAAAAAAAACTTCATGCGAACTCGGGTTTGGTATCTTGACAGGCAGTTACATAAACTTTCACAATGAGTTCAGTTAAAATACGCACCAAACATCGTTACATTTCATTTCATTGCCCCTTGCTTGATTAATTGTCATGCTGTCAATATTCTAGATTAAAAATCTGACCTACCGCTTAAAATTAGGTTTACATCTATTGTTATAAAGCGGAGCTGCCAAGGTATCAACATTTATAAATGTACAGCGTTCATGGCGGGATGAGATTTCCCCTGAAAACATCTGGTTTAAATAGAAGGAAACTTATGGATGTTTCAGTAGCTATGTATTCAAACGCTAATCTGAAACATACTTTTATAGTCACCATAATTTCTTGTTTAATGCCGCAATCTAGAATTTATATCTCTTAACTCCATTACTGTTAAGCAACACCGATAAAATGAGAAGCAACATGGGAAAAAAAATACAATGAAATACTGCTGATAAACAATAAAACATGCTCATTTTATATACATAGGCATTAGAGTTTATTAACCATTTGAGTCAACTGTTTTCTGAAAATGCACACGTATCTATTTAATGTGGCTGCTTCTAGCGTGTTACTTTGCCATGATGATGATGACGAAGTAAGTGATTTTGTTCCTATCTCTCTCTGTCCATGTGTAAACTGAATATGTTTTTGGACGTCTCATGGCTTGGCCTTGCGGCAATATTTTAGGGCCTTTTTCCTCTTCCCCGCCACAGCCTTAACTATTCATGATGGATCGGCAAAGTATTTCAAACCTGAAATACAAGAGGTTGTATTCTGCATGACCAGCATTTGAACCTCTCTCTTAACCAAGGAACAAAAAGATAATAGATGCTGTCTTGGAAGGTGCTCTATAATTTGATGTATGAGGGCTCAGCGGACCAATAAAGATTTTTTTGGGGTTAAAAAAAAGTGCAAGGACTCCCGGAGCGGCTCGAACGCGGAGAGTCAACGGCGCAGCTTGGCCGCATAATCCTCACATTGCTAAAATATGCAGAGATTCCTTGTCTGCCCCACACTCGCACCTTATTTTCCAGTTTGAGTTTGAAGTACATATTCAGGTTGACACTTTTTAAATTATTTGAAACGCTTGCCACATTTATAAACAATACAGTGCAAAACCGGCGAGCATGTACGTGAACCGGTCAGTTCTATACAAAACTTGCACGGTTTCTCCCCCTCTCCCTTCCTCTCCTTCTCTTTCTATACAACTAATCATGCCGAAATATCAATGTTGGTATTTGGCATTGCCTAAAGATATGTGAAGTCAAATATTCGAATGAAGTTAAGCAGCACGCAACCTGCTTATCTGTGTTGTAAGCAGCACTGTACTTCTCAGCCATGTTAGGTATGACTTAATTTTTTAAATGACCCTCAATCTTTATACAGTTTAAATCGGCGGAATGTTCACTTATCAGACGATTCGGTGTTGGAAATACATTTTAAAATCTGCTTTTGTGAAAGAAGGAATTAAAATATGTTCGTACAATCATTTTTTGTTTGTGGAATATTTATTACGTTCTGGCGTTTTGCGTTAAAATTCTGTTTAACGTCTTGGGGATAAACTATCCAAGTAAAAGAGTTGAAAATGTATTTAAAAATCAAACAAAGCATTCAAGAGAATGCACCGACCTGGAAAAAACAAACGGCATGAGGATATTACAAAATGAAACTCCGTCATCACGGACTACCTGCTTCCAAATATATACATTCAAATGATAAAATCGAAATGCGAAAGTTTACATTTCTATTCATTCGTACTTCGCGAGGATTGTCGGATATGATCTTTGTTCTTTAAGAGAGGGCCATTATAATTCTTTATAATTTGATGATAAAATACATGGTGAAATTTCAGCCTTTACGATCAAAACCGGCAGAGCAATATTCTTCCATCGTTCATCAACAGGGAGAAAGGGTGAAATGTTTTATTTAGCTAAGCGTGCACACAAAATAATAAATTCGAACCAAAATGACCCGCCTTCAGCCGGGTGCTACGGCTGCACGGAATGAAACCCTAGGCTGTAACGGAGTTTAAGCGAGCCAATAAAACTGGATTTTTACAGCAAAATCCAATGATGTTTCCATTTCAAATGCTGATCTGATAAATATAGAACAGAACCAGCAAAGTCAGGCGTGTTCCAGTCGCTGGTTGCCACCATGTTTCGGCGAAACACAGAGGCTGGAAGAGTTATATCTTGAGATTTCACTCTCCACAATCCCGACACGCTGTACCTGCGGGTCTCAAGTAATTACAGAGCTAAACAAGTGAAGGGCTATTTGATTGTCCAAAATGTGTTAAATATTCAGAAAACATGCATCCTAGCTAATGGGACAACAATAGGGGAAGTCGTCATACACCTTAAATTATAGAGCACCGTAAGACGTCCACGTAAATATGTCTTAAGTCACAACTGAGAGCTTAGTTTTGAAAAATGCTCCAAATTAGCCCCCAAAGAAGGCCCAAGGAACGGGCTCCGTGTTGAATTCAGATGCAATGTGAAACAGTCGCTGCGTGAAAGGAAGCTATAGCTTGTGAACTCTTCTTGAACCGAGATTGAAGTCATATGGTCATAAATCACTGGGACATATACTCCGCCATTCACGAGTGATAGCCTATTTGAGTCCAGCTTACCTTAGCCACTGACGATAGAAGCAGAGCAAGACATAATATTTCAGATTCACCACGCAATCGATAAGCAGGAGTTCCCAAATTCTTTTATATACATATAAAAAAGGAAGGATAAAACAGCTGGTTATGGCGCTGAAATTCACTCGTTGAAGGCAACGGCAAAGAAAGGCGAGATGGTACAGCTTCAAAGAACTGTAGAAAGCTCAAGGCTTGAATGGACAGCCCTGATATTATTGAGCCCTAGACTGGTACGCCCTACTCACAGATAACAATGGTTTCTCAGCTTTACAGGGCAGAGTGAACTAGAAAGGAAACCCATATTTTCGGTATGTTTGTTATGAATACGTATATATATTAGAAGCACGGTTTAAGAGAAAAAACGATTTCTTTCTTGAGTGCTGGGCAGGCAACGAGTGTTAATCCCCTCGAAACACAGCGTCACAAGTGAAAAATTATGCTAATTAGCGACGTGGTGGACAAGGCCTAGACTGAGATGGCAAGCTCGCTGTTTGCTTCACGTGTTTGGCAATTAAGTGTAAGCATATGCTATTATATTTTTCGCGTAAAGTGAAACCTTTCGCCATTCAAAATAATATTACGGGAACCTATAATAATAAACCGAACTTCTCATTGCAGAACTCAACGGAGAATTATATTCCGTTCTACCCATCTTGTTTTTTGAATTCGTGGACGGAATCGTTAATTAATAATGTATTCATGTTATTTAAAAAAAAGCTGGAGTGTCCGACTGGTTGCGGTAGAAAAAGAAAAGAAAATGGACGCAGCCTATATTATGAGGGTCGGCCGGGGGGTGTGGGGTGGTGGGGTGGGGGCGAGTGGGTAGGCGGTGGGTGGGGTGGGGGTGCAATAGATGAGATAATTCTGTCATATTGAATATGTAGTAACGGACAAGATGCAACAGCCGCTCTCTAAACTTTTAATGTCAGCTGTGTGCTGCACTTGCTCGGACACTTAAGGTGTTTTTTTTCAATTAAAAAAAATGCCCTTTTGAAAATGGAGCGAGAGAAAGAATTGTCACTCGAGTGAAAGCCAATGAAAAAAAAGAATTTGGAACTTAAGCTCTTTTTTATGCATGCCACTGCTTCTGTCGTTTATGGCTACGTAAGATTTATGACTTCATGGCACCGGAGCTGTAAACAGTGTAAAAGGAATAGATGTTGCACGAGGTTAGGTACATGAAAGGGGATCCTGAAGGGCGTAGGAGGAAGACCGGCGAAAGAATCCACAACTCTGCAACTTTCAATAAGCCTTCATACTATGCTACGTTTATTTTGCCAAGTTTGTCTTTTTTTAGGGGGGGGGGGGGGGTAGGGGGGGGGGGGAATGAAGTGGGTAGAGGTTAAAGAAGCTACTCAGAAGTCCGTGGCCTTCATTAGGTGAATACTTCACATCTATTTGGATTGAGTGAGGAGTCGAACGGATTGATTTTTATTAACGTGCAGTGATTTTCTACAACGCAGCGCTCAACTGCCAAAGGAGTCACTTCATAAAGTGAGGCTAAATTCGTGCCGTTAAAAAAAGTGCTCCTTCTGCCTATAAGTAAGACAGGTCAAAGAACTTTAGACACTATTGTACATTATTTTCAATCGTGACTTGGCTGAATAAACAACTTTGCAACTTACCAACTTCTTATGAGTGAACAATTTTCGGTAATTACATTTTCTTGAACCTATTATTTTGCCTGTGATCTACTTCTGCGTCTGGGAAAGGAGTCAGTTTCAACAATGGACATTTTTAAAAAATACTGTTCAAGATGGAAACCACAACTTTACCAATTTCGAAATTCAGGAATTCTAAATTAAAATCTCACGTGGTGGTAAGATATTTTACTTGAACATGCCGACGCAGTGTCGGAAGTTGCCTATTATTCTTGTGGAACAAGTTATTCCAGATTATTGTTAAACAAAATTTCTGAATTATTCTGAACCGGATTTCTAACAAAAACATCAATTGGGAATTTGGAACGCGATAATAGGACGTGATATAACTTGAACAATGTGCACAATATATACCTTGATATAGTGTAGTTTATTTAATGCTAACTCAATTAGTCCACCTACCCTTCTATCTTTTTCGATCTGATAGATAAGTAAAACATTGAATTCTGGGAAATGGTTCAGGTATGGAATGAATATAATCTGACTTACCGCCGTAGTGCTGCTAGTTCTCGATCCAAGGTGCAGCTGCTGAAAAGGTCTTTATAAAGAACCAAGACTGCAAAAAAAAGAAAAAGGCAAACCTTCGATCAAGTAAACTGTTACAAAATCGAATTCGTTGTGCACAACCTGTGAAGAAATCGACAGTGTATTCGAGCAAGCGATAGCAAGAACCATCTAAAACTGGAACGTCAGGAATCAGGATAGAATTTGTATTAGTAATAATGTATTAGAAATGGCAGCGTAATGTACTCACATATAAACATTAATTGTCAATGCTTTAATTTATATATTTATATGTTATATGTATATTGGTCTGCTCACTCAACCAGTATTTTGACACTTTTAATTGAAATAATATGCTGTGTGTATTTTTGAAATTGCTTTTGTAAATCTATTTGTGCTTAATCATTGTGTCTCGTACATTTTTTGTGGAATTCTTTCCGAAAGTGGTCAATAAATTAAATCTTTGCCATCCTAAACCACTTAATTGCCTGATTTTATTATCTCCTTGCTATTGTTAGCCAATTTTTAGTTTAAAACACATGACATTTAGTCAGTTTTATACACCATTTGGATTAAACAGGCGTTTATTCAACTTTGGGCTTTCAACAAACAATGAAAATTACATTAATACATAATTGTAAAGTGTTTGCATTGCCCAAATGTATGTTTGCTATTTTACTTTGAACAACTATTCAAAATTAGAATCACTACGTTGAATTATTGAAAACTTAGTTTCTTATTTTAAAATCGGTGATTTCATTATACCCAAGTTCTCTTACATTGCAATAAAAGGTAAAGTGAGGAAGCTGATGTCTTTAATAATGAAAGTTGTTACGTTTTTTCATATGGTTCTGCTATTGGTCCCGAGTAAAATATTCGTTACACTTTACCCCCAAAATATACCAATTCCGGAAAGACAAAACACACAATGCGTTCTGACCTCCCGGAATAAAATGCTTCCTTACGTCCGAAAGCGGCAACAGTTACGCATGTTGAATCTTTAACTTTTCCTATCGAATGAATTAAATTGCAAATAGTTTAAAGGATTAAAGACGAAAGGGAGAAATGGAAAAGTAATATTCTTCGTCAAATCTTAAAATAAAGATTACGCACTTATATGTGACCAGACGCCGGCAGCGCAGCAGAACAAAGGAGAAAAAAACGGGGTGCGGGTTAATGCAAGGATTCACCTGCTAGCTTTAATAAACAAAAGACTTCTGTGTTTTCATATAAAACCTTAAAATAAGTTGAATTATACATTTATGTTAACTTTAATGGATTTTCGAGATATTTATTCGTCGGCATGTTTCGATTCCTGGGACAAATGCAATCGAAAAGGCTTAGTTCTTTGCTGCGGACTGCTAAACTCATAAATTATTTACTTTGTCTGGGAAACAAATGTTCATGAATCATTGGTTGCCATAATCGGCAATGATTAAAATTCGTTTTTTGTTTGCTAAATTAATATGAAGGCATCCAAAAGAAAAAGAAGACGGAAAAGAGCGTTGATATCGATGCATGGAGAGGGATCTGAATTAGGACTCCTGAAATCACATATAGACCCACACACGCGCATTCACAGTTGAGTAAAATACATTGAGAATTATTCTTCCAGTGAACTAATTTACAGTCGTTGAGTATCAGGAGGGCACTTAAACATTTGCAGTTGGGCTAAGTGGATAAAAAAAGGAAAAGAAATAAAATATGACTTGGCTCATTGTGACACATTTAAGCCTCTCTCTGAATGACCTTTCCTTGAATAGTAATAACTCACCACATTAATGATCAATCAGCGGGAGGGTTTGAAATGTGTCCAAAATAACAATCCGTCCCACTATCCCAGGCTTTCTCTGCGATCGCATATAATCCTTTTATAAGAGATATTGGACGGCATACATATCTTCCCCCTGACCCGATTTGTTTTTTAAATGGCCTGCTGTAAATAATCAGAGTACTGACTGGGTGATCACAGCCCGGAGACACAGGCGAAGGCCTTCCATCCAAATGCCAGAGTAAATGCGCTTGGATTATGCATTCACGTGGTCAGTACGTCAACGTTTCCCCATTTTATACAGACTTTAGCAATTGTTAATTGAACTCTTCTTTTTTGTGCATGATCGTTGAAATTTGGGCATTTCAAAAACTTCTAGTGGATGACGAGGGACACTCCACGTTCTTATTCTTTTCGTAGAAGCTGTTTGCAAAGGTAGGTCGTTACTTAAATAGAAATCAAAATAAGTTCATTTAATTAGCTTCTTCGAAGAACACAAGGTCAGGAGAAGTAGAGATTGAGTAACTTTTATGTTTCTTTTTACACTTCTTCAGCCTCTCTGCTGAAGTAAAGCGGCAATTTGATTCTTTTTAGCAGGCCTGGGATGCCTGTTTTGAATCAGAACAGATAATATGTGGTCTCCCCAGTGTTGTTTTGTAGAATACTTGAGAAAGTGGGCTTGGTTTACACCCACGCACGGTCTGTCAAAGTAATGTGGGACTCCAAAATTAAACGCCTTATTTATTCTCAACAAGCAAAGAATTAGTTCACAGCCATCCGCATTGTTAAGCAAGGTAGTAATATATCCAACAGCAAAGTTAGCAACATATCTTTGATTTAAGGAAGTCTTATACATTCTCATTCGGCATACTTAGAGTAAAGTTACATTGAAAGTTAATTATTTTCACATAAATCATAGTAAAATATATGGAACAGTCGTAAAACATGTATTATATGCGTGTTATTTTAATATAAAATATATAATATTATCGTACGTGCAATTTTTTCCGAACATTTCAAATTTGACGCTCTGATTTAGGTAAACGTTACTTGAAATCAAAATGTGGTTTAAAGTAAGAGCTATTAATCAAGTTGCAATTTACAAGCACGTTATACACTCATCGGAATGTGCTCAGGCGTCGTATTTTAGGCCGTTGTATTAAATGTAGAAGATAAAGATATCGTCTTCCTTGGATAATGTGTTCTCTAATATTTATGCACACTTTTTTAACATATAAAAGTGAATGCCAGCCGTGCAAAACACGTTGCATAATGTACATTGGCACGTTTCCAAATGTACCTTTTCATCTGACCTATTAATGCATAACTTGTGTTTAATGTGACATTTGACCTGTAGCACAGTGACGTGCTACAGCGGTTTGTGCTCTGCAACTTGCCTTGTATCACTGGCCTTTCATTTTACTTCTCAAACGGCCGAGAAGTTAACGTAAACTTAAAACTGACAAACTAAGACAAATAAAGATATTGATTTAAATTAACGAGAACGATGATGGTGGGAGAGTAGATGGAGGGGGGTGGGGGGGAGGTGGGTGGCAGTGTTAGTGGTTGAGATGCCTGGCATGAGTCAAAGGGAGATCAATAGGGTTACTGTACAACTGGAACAGAGGGTCTTTCATCTACGACGCTAAGCAGAATTGCAGTGACAAACTCTGCGCCTAGCTTGCAAGATAATGCAAGAAAAGTGTCTGTGCTACAAGAAAGAGTTAATTTTTAGTAAGGATGACTTTAATGTTATTGTCCTTTAACCAAATAATTTGCAACCCGGAACGTAAAAAGAACACTTTGGAATCTGCAACTGTGTTTGCAGCCAGTAAGAAAACAAAATGAGATAATATTCGAGTTTTCCATTTGGATTTCATTTCAGAAAAAAAGAGAAACCTCTGCTGTAAAATAGTTAGTTCTGTTAACATGCCAAAAACGATGAAATTCAACTTGATTATTTCCTAGATCCATTCTGACGCCTGCAGTACTAACTATCTGCCTCAGCATACGAAACAATTGGTACATTTTCATTTCGCCTGAGGCTGGCTACAGCATATAAAAATGATTTGTTAAAAATGGAGAGGAATTTAATGCAAACCTATTTTCTGCTAACATCAAACGTCGCCTTATCGCTAGCCGTCTATCTGGCTACGAATGCCTAAGGAAATGAAAACCGATTAAAACGCTTTCCGTTTAACAGAACGTTGTACTTCCATGAATTAGAAAATGTTCCAGTAATTTTTTTGGTACTACTTTAAGGTGGTGGACCCTTTACCAGAACCGCGTTCTTGCGTATTCCAAATTAATGATTATATTCTCAAGAGTATTGAGTAATGTAGAAATTATTTTTTCTATAGGAATAAATACAGGGATGTAGCAAGTCGGCAAAGTTGAAAGAAGTGATGTGTTTATCTCTCTCTGTCTCTCTTTTTCTCAAGGTTTCAAGGAAAATGCCAAGAGATTGAGTTGAGGAAGTTTAGCGGTCAACACTGGATGGACCTCAGTTTGGAAACTTTCAAAGTATAATAGGTAAACACTGTTTACCCAGGTCATAAATCATGCGCACATTCATCTTTAGGATAACACCCTACCTAAAAATGCTTTTGAAGCTTCTTGCACGAATTCGGAGGTGTCAATGACCATCAAAGGTAGATCCAAACCAAACGTTTAATTGTTTGTTAGATCTTTAGGATGTTTGAAGAGGAAAAGAATTTTCAGAAGAAATCTTCACCGCCCCCTTGGAAAATAGCACTTTTGGTTAGGTGGGGGGGGGGGGGGAGGCGGGGGAGGAGGGGTTTGGAAGGGGGTGTGGGGGGGGGGGGGGGGGGGGGGGGGGGGGCGCTGGTAATGGGATGATGTGTGTGAGGGGTGGGGGAGTTGGTTGCCTGGTGTGGGTGAGGCCACGTCTGTCTTAATCCGTTACACACAAAAAGTCAGCAATAGTTCACGGAAACCAACCGGGGACCTTTCTCTCAGGTCAAGCTATGGGCCATTAATTATATCCAGCTTGGAATTCAGAGCTGCAGAGGAGAAAAAATGTTTAAACTGCAGTTTACTTGGTTCGTTTACCTGTTGGATTATAGCAATGGAACTTGGAAAGCGATCACTGAATTTGGTCTTTCATCACAGGTGGTGGAGCTCAGTTATACCCCCCACGGGAGGAAAAATATTTATTGGACCCTGGTGGATTTAAAAGAAATGCATCCTGGAAGATTTCGGGAGCGTCATCGAAAGATGCATGGGTTCGCTTGACAGGAATGGATTCAATAGCAGTTGGACTGCGAAGTTACAAACGGTCGGTTCCCAACTAGCCGTATACGTGAACGGACTTCCTGCAAAACCTGAGTAGTTTATTTATGTCGGAAGCTTAATTCTGCACATGCTGTTAAAAAATATCTAGTACTAATGTACACTCAACGCGATTTAAGGGTTAGGCTACTGCCAAGATATAGGCCAGAATGGTAAACAGAAGGTGAAATATAGATGTATGTAACGTGTCCAGTAGGAACTGGTCTGGTGTATGGATGTCAGAAATTGCTGAGAATACGCAGAACAACATTAGCGGACTCCTTTAAAATACCGGACCCGCCAGCTAAATATGCTGTGATATTTAACAGCGGGCGACAGTGAGTAAGAGATGCAGAAGTAGAGTGAGAGAAACGTGCGCAGAATAGAAAGAAAAAGAAGAAAGCAATAGTGAAAAAAATTCAAGACAAAAACAATGCTAGTTCTTGAGCTCATTGCTACAGTCTCACTATATCAATCTCCTAACAATGTCTATGTGATTTATAAAATGATTACAATCATTACTTTCAAGCAAATAAACCTCAAATCTCTACGGAGTGCGAACAGGGCATCACCTTATCCTATTTTTGTTCCTCCAATTGCAACAATTTCGGACAATTGCTCCTTAGAGACCGACCACATTTCAACACAAAGGAATGGGGGAAAAGAACATGGAAAATTTGGCACAAAAACACCATTAGCTTTTTGGTGATTTGACGCTTTCACTGAACAGAAAAAAAAATCAAAAATCGTCATCGTTCGCAACAGAGAAATCTACACTACTGGAACCATCAAGTAAATTGCATCTCAAAATTAGTTTCGTTTTGTATTATCAGGGAAAGGTCAGGGGTTACAGTTATTGCATTTTCACTTTTCTAATAGCCAGTCTGGGAGCATAGAACAGCATCAATATAATTTATTACCTTGTCTTTACCGGAGCTAATTTTATCGGTTATTGAGAGGCGTTGAAACACCATGAGTTGCAAAGTCAGGAACTTTACATATCTACTGCAATACTGATCGGTTAATTATATATCCTTTATGTAAGAAACTACGTGAAATTCTATTGAACGCGCATTGTTCATTTAGCTTCGCAATCTTTGTCGGATGTTGCATAAGGTTTTCATATTTTATTTTACAAAAGATTAACAGCGAAATGATGCATGTTTATAGAATTTTACATGTGATCGATGATCTTATTGTCTGTCTCTTATCCATTCTTGATTTTAATTTTCAATTTAATACATTTTGCAATACTGTCGTATGTAATGAACAAAATATAAATTCTTTAACGTTTTGATTATTTTGAAAAAGGCGAATTGTCTATAAACTGTAGCTTTAGTTTGTTTCATTTTGTTTCCTATCATCGTGCATATATTAGGAAATGTAAATACATTGCCATCCTCGCCCACTCTTCTATGCGCTGTTCCAGACACAATCGCTTCCATTGAAAATATCAGTATCTTTTCCCCATAATTTTAAACAGCCACATACAGTCTAGCACAATATATTAACAGGGAGAAGAGACATGATTTATTATGAGGAGTATAATTACCTGTACATTAAATAGCCATCTTGTAAGAGCAACGGCTATTCTGGGAGTAGGTAGGAATACTTTCTTATAACCTCCTAATATATTAACATTCCGTTAAAAGGATTTTATTTGAAGTATATCTGTTCAGTTTGAAGGATGTAAATGAACGATGTAGATAAGGGAGATAGCCAACCAATTATGAAATGAGACACCATAAATAAATCTTAAACTGGTTCACAAAGTTAATTCTGTCAGCTGATGAATAGAAAGTGGGGGAAAAAGCAAGAGTGGGGGTGGAGGGAGAGTGTAGAAATCAGAAAACCTGAGCAATTTTCCTTCGTGTTTGCATAATTTTGTTGCTCATGCAGTGGAATGCGATCTGTAGTAGAGAAAAAAAATTGTAGACAACTAGATTTACAAGACAAATAACAAAAACAGGAAGAATCAAGATAAACAATGCTGTTCGACATCTCGGCACAGTAACGAATCCTGTGTTTTCGGCGTTTTCTTATTTTTGAAATACAGTGACCCTAGTCTTGATGTGTTGCTTTCTATTGAAGTCACCACTGCTGTTAAAGAGAGGCAAACGAACAAAGCCTTTAGGAGGGGCTTTTCGTTGAGTGGTTCGGCACGGCATTGTCAGGATGGTCAAAAAGCACAATAATCAAATGTAAATAAGAGGCTGTAATTTTTAAATATAGAAAAAACAGGCTTCAATCCTTAACATTTTCAGAATATAACAGTTTATTCTGCCTTTCCGGGTTTTTTTTTTCACGGAATACACATTGCTCTCAGCTCCTCTGAACGTACACAGTGCCATTGAGTATGATTCATGTGTGTTGAGGGCAGAGAGTCACATTATTTTTCCATTTTGGTGCTGGGAGTTATCAATTAATAAAGCTTCAATTGAATCCAGGGTCAGACTTGCAAAGAAATTTACACATCTTTGCTGTGGAAGCTAAGCAATATCCAATTGTGTTCTGATATCGATTTGCTAATGCCTTACCCTTTTCTCTTTTCTCAGGAGCATTTTTTGGCAAATGAAGAAAATCGACATCCCAAAGGCCTGCCAATCATAGAGCAACTGCGAGTTTTCATTGTTTTTCCTCCTCATTTACAAGCGCAGAACCAATATTCAGAGATTGAGGAAACAGATTATGTGCCACATTTTTAAAGGCATATGAACTTTGTCAATCTATTCCATGTCGGTTTACTCTTATTTCATGTAACATACACGAATGAGTGGAACATACATAAATCTATCCAGTACAAAAGAACAAAGACAAATACAGCATAATTTTACAGGAAATGTATTAAATCATAGACAAATTCCAAATTTGTTCCATGTACTTGTAGTTCGTTCACCTGCAATTGTGTCTCTTTTTGATTTCTGCATCTTGCATATTAAATAATTAAATTGTTCAGAAGTATTTTGAGATTTTCATCTTTGTTGGGCTACCAGATAGAATATATAATAGATAATTCCAACGCTGAATGTAATTATCAAAACAAACACTTAAAAGGAATTCGCATAATCATAATTAAAAACGACCATTAAATATCCCTCAATAAGAAAAAGATTACCATTCAACTGACAGATAATGATATTTTGAAAGGCACCCGCGTTTCAATACTGATGTTCTTTGCCTGCTGCAACCATTAATATTTAACGCCAATCACTAAGTTATTCTAATTTTACTACATAAAGGTTTGCACTAACGATCGGTGTTAAATGTTACGCTGCTATTAATGGCTTCAATTTGACTGGCTGGCGTCCAACCGCAGAATAAAAGGACCGAGGCGTTGTGGAAGTCTGTTAGTCTTCGCTCATTTTCAAAATTGGGTTTCGCAATTCATTTCTGGTCACCCAAAGCGCCTCCTTTACTAGGTTTTTATTCCAATGAGGCGTTGTGTTTTAAAGAATTCATACAAAACTATCCATAATTGGTAATCACGGATGCTGTAATTTAAGACCCCCAGCTATAGCTTTCATATTATCCTCTGATCTATTGCTACAAATGGCCCGCAATAATCAACTCTGGGGAGAGGATTACAACCTTCCTCATTCCTGAATATCATCACTTGCACATCATTCTCAAAGAGCATGATTTATCACACAGACGAACATAAACAACACACAACTTACACACAATGGCATCCATAGTGTTGCTGACATATTTTTGCAATAAATCAAGAAAGCAAGAAGGAAAACATTCCCACAAAAATCAAAGAAAATGGAGAAATAAACAAATATACCACCGTGGTAAATTGAAAAATAGAAGGAAAGGTACTATTTGTCAAATGTTATGACAGTCTTGTAAAACATAAATAACACACATAATATTTACATAGAGAGACACGAGGCAGTGCAGCTGTACTTACAATAATCCAACCCACGGTGTGTCTCTCTTCCCAAATTGTTTTATTCCAGCCTCTCTCTCAAGTTATAGGCTTGTTTTTAAAAGGACAGTAGAATTTCACGTCAGACACAGGGAGACCATGTCGGCGATTTACCGACGAATACATATCTATTCTGCAACAGCTGCATTAATTATTTAATGAGTCACGTGATCGAGGGGGAAGGGGGGATTTCAAATTCATACTCCAAGGAGAAGTGTCACCTTCCACTGGGAGAGAGGAAAATATTTCGTATTCTTTTCAATTCTTAATGATTTTTGTTCTCAAAATGATATTCATGCATTGCTAACAACACCTGCTAAAAAGTGGGATTCAAGAGGTTTTCAGTCGGGCGAGAACTAAAAGAAGTGACTATTTCAAAGGTTTCAGAGCTTTCTAAGACTCATCCTTTGCATTCTAGGTCGCTTCTTCAGACTTAGAAACATGCCCATTCTTAATGGCGTCCTTTATTCATCATAGCTATTACAACTAGAGATATGTCACTACAATCATACATTTCTGCCTGTTTCATTTCACCACTAGTTTACTTCTCCCAATGTATTGTCTTTCCAAGTTTCATACACTACATTTTATCTTTCATATCCTTGTTTTCTGTCGCACAGTTGGCTTTGTATTATTGTGGAATCACCATATATTTTTCAAGAAAGATCCCTTTTCGCCACACAAGGACACTTCTACTCTTGCTACAAACCTGGCAACAGTCGCTACCAGTAACATAAATGCCTCCGAAAAATTTCGAGCAATTGGAAGAACGATACGCCTTTTTGAAAAAAAAAATCAACCCAATCTATTTTGTGTTGGTGACATTATTACGAAACCGGATCAAATCTGTGCTAAGGGATGCTGAATCTCTGTTATTGTCAAGGAGGGATGGATAAGGTGGGAGAACGTCTTTGGTTTTTTGGTACCAGCAATGCTTTTTTAAAAAAATAATAATAATCTTGGTGAGAATCATGCTCCGACAAAACAATTTGACACAGAGCTTTCTAACTTGGTCGTGTTTCAATATTCTCTTTGCGGGTGCTTCCTAACGTGCACACCAGCAATATAAATTGCAGTAGGTTTATTTTAAAATAGCACCAGAGATTATTTCGTTGTAAGTTTAAGGAATCCGTCCTAAGTGGCCCATAATATTACCTGGAACTCAGTCTTTGTTCTCTTCAGAAACCCCACCGTTTTCAGAAAATTATAATGATATAATTTAATGATATCCTTATAAAGCTCATCCGTCATATTTATTGCATTTTAAACTGATGTTAGAAAATTCCAGAGGCTTATAAAAGAGAATAAAGCATGTTCCGTTATAAGAGCCATCTAAATAATTTGGGGGAAAAAGCATGGGTTGAGGGGCGGGACTTCTCAACCAACAAAGGCAACGTTTTCGTTTATTTGTTTTTAACAGACATTTGAAACTTTTTTTCTAAAATACATGATGGATTAGTGCGTTCATGTGTTTATTGTCTTGAAAAAACACAACACGTTGCAACAATAAACTGGAGTTAGAAAAGATGCGGAAAAATTGGGTTTCAGCTTTCCGCACTCTCAATACAATTTGCATCATATGGTAGTTGTTTCTTAAATCGTGAAAAGGTGATATCGATTTTATGCTCTAAGCGAAGAAAGACCCTGAATAACAATAAGGTTTGAATTAGGGCGTCCACTTCTAGCAGAGCTATGATAAGAATAAGCTAGTCTGCAAAGCCCAACACGTTGCATGCACGAAATGCCTTTCTCTTCCATCCCTCTCTGCCACCCCTTTAGCTCGATGTCCATTGTCCGCAAGCAAACCACATGTAATAATTTTTAAAAGTCAAGCTAAAATCTATTTCTTATCACAAATACACAAAAATGCATCAATAAAATTCAAGGCATTACAATATTGAATGTTATTGAATCTTATTGAATCTTCTGTAGAGAAAAGGCAGCCTGATAGCAAAACAATGGTTTTTCTTCTCAATGGTTTGAATTTTAGAGACCATCCTGAAATGCAGTTGTAAAGAGCAGCACGCACACGTACACGGACACAGGCATGTGTGCACGCATCTAAAATTCATCCCACGGCCTATTCTTAGCCATTGCTGAATATTTAAAAAAAGGGATTTCAAAACAAACATTCAAGATCGTTTATCTTTTTTAATGCAAGTTGGAACACTCAAGCAACCCTAACAGAACGGACACTCTCAGAGACGCACCACAGATTTTAAATCCAGTGAACGAGGGGTAACCCTGAATTTTTTTATCCTTTAGTATTGAGAATGTTCAGATAGAACAGAGTCATGTCTTAAAGGTCAAGGGTTTCAGAGGTCAGACTGTTAGTATAAAAACAGCTAATCGGATAGAAAAGTTGTCCTTTCCGTGAACCCTTTCTGCCGTCCTGCTGACCAACCGACATGCTGATTTTATTCTGTAACCTTCATGTATGGTTAAAAACTTAATAAAACGATAAGTAACAAGACACAACTTATAAGCAGATTCTACAACCAATATGTGGACAGTGTGTATTACAAGCTGCACATAGCAAGTATGCGTTGCCATTTAATTGTCAAAAGAACAACAAAGCGATACAAAGCGAGGAAATCAATTGACTTTGTTTGCTATTACCTTTCCTTTCAGCATTTTCCGTTCTCCAATTCTGAACATTTTTACGAGTTTTAAGCATGGTTGAGAGACAATCTTGCGATGTGACTGAAAAATTCCACGCTCTGCTCATATTTTTAAAGGACTCTCCAGGTCGCACACCACTTTTCCCCGGGACGAGCCATCCAGATTTGCTGTTGAGCAACAAAGGGAGAAGTATTTAAAGAAAGCAGTGATTAATGATTTCAAGTTAATTCTCGCATTTTCAGAACCTCTCTGAGTACAAATAATGCCTGTGAACTTTAGTTGTATAGCTTGCATTCAGAGCCTTTGGCAACAGTCTGGCAGAGGGTGTAGGACTGACTGGCCTGTTATCTGTGTTTGAATGGAGAAAATTGAACAGCTACTGGCGAGATTCAATGAATAATTCTTATATTATTAACTAAAGTAATTACTCATCAAAACACTTCAGAATTATATACCTTAACGAAAATGTTACATTTGGAAACGCTGCATTTCAGATCATCTCAGTTTCGTGGGACCTCCGGGATGGAGGGGGATGGGGGAAGCACAAAATACATACACATTGGTTAGAAAGGATTTTCTCATATAAGCGACAGATTGTAAATCTTTCTGTTGTCTCCAAAGGCAATTCGTGATTTAAGAAAATCAAACTTTATTCGTGTTTCTTTTGTAACAATTGGATATGCGAAATCTCACCATACTGTAAAACACATTCCAAACAAACATCAGAAAAGGACATTTTGTATCGTGCTCAGATCAATGTTGTTTTGCAGGTTGAGTTTGAAGGGAATATTTTTGAAGAATGGAGGTAGGGTAGAGTGAGATTATCATCTCGTTTAGTTATGACATCTAAATACAGTTTTGTAACAATATCTGTTAAATTACCGTTCTAAGGCAAAACACGTGTATCAGTAAACTGAACCCTTGAATCCGCAAACACTGCACTTAAATATTGAATATTGTATTGTGCAATGCTGTGCACCCCAGTTAGCTTCTCTTTCAGTATGTGGTGCAGTTTCAGATTCCAGGTTGCATATGCAATGTGTTATAAGAAAGAAAATTAAAATTAATACAAAGCTTCATCTGACAAAAGAGGTCATTTGTCTTCTTGATTATCTATTTGCTTGTCAAAGCTTGAACCATTACATCTTCCAATCTCTTTCCAATACTCAAACACAAATGCACAAAGAAAGAAAATGCTAAGAGGTTCTGTAAAAATCATACAATGGATTTAACTTAACAAGATTGAGTGTTCTACAAGGAAAAGGGAGGCATGGTGATGAACGTAAACAATCAAGAAATAACAGATCACTGTAGTGAATTAACAAATCTTCATCAAGGACTGTTTTCCAAACGTATTACCCCCATTAAATTATTGCACAATTCATCTGTATTCACAAGCAGGTGTAAAGGACTCTAACAATTCAGGATGGGCATTGTGTTTGATTAGAGGTGTACCTTTCTGATATTTTTTTCACCAAACCTATGTCCTTTGTTATCACCCTGGCCGACTCACACAGATGAATGAGCTTAAGGAAATTTGAAGTCATATTACCAGATCATATTGCTTCAGAAAACGCACCAGCAGACTTGATATAAATAAACAAAGGAAAGATACACCTTGAAAAAATTTATTTCGGTTATTACTATTTACACGTATTTTGGTCTGGATGAGAGTCAATACATAGAGAACAATGCAAGGACACAGACTGCTAACGAAAATACATCCTCCTGTGGGCCAGAGCGAAGTAGCTGCTAAACTTCAAAGTTTGGAATGTCATAAAGAATTATAAGGAAATTAAAAAAAACTTCATCTGTCTAACTTTCCACTTCTTTCAGCTAATGCACAATTTGCTAATACTGAGGCCAGAAGCAAGTATTATATCGTGGCTGTACAAGTCACATGCAACATATTTTCATAACCACTTTAAATAACTTTGTTGACATAATTTATTCCTACACATGATTTTTACACGTTTGTCTTTAAAGTACAACTACATACATGTTTATTGGCACCGAAAGTAATATATTTGGGATCATAACGTCTGAGGAAAACGTACATATCGGTGTAATATTCCAAAGAAAATACCCCAAATGTTTCTTTTTGTAAAACCCAATGGAAAATGACTCCAAGCTTAAAACCACAAGGGCCATCTTGCTGAAATGCTTCAACATTCTTGTGGGTTTGTTTTGTGTGAATAAAAGACAGTTTGTCATCCCAGGTTGACGAAACGGAGCCTCATTTATTAAAGTGTTCGTTTGCTGTCGAGGTAATCGTAGGCATAGAGTTCATCCTTTGTACCACCAAGTAAACATGACAAATGGGGAGACTTTGGCGTGATTAAAGATGAAACGAGGATTCATCTTTGCCAATCTCTTCTGAAAACTGCAATCTACAATATTACTTATGGGGGAGGGGAAGAGGAGTGGGCAAAATCGGAGTATTTACAGTTTAGATTTTGCCACTATAAATAAACAATCTCTCAGTTAAAATTCTATGTTTATGCGCGCGTCTGCCAATTTCTCTCCAATAACAGCAGCTATAATGTGGCTGATGGTCCACTTGGCTCCTGGTTTTGAGAGCTTCCTTGCGATTGATGACTTGCAGAGGACGAAGAGCCTGTCGTAGACCTGATTTTGGTATTTGGCAACTTGTGGTCCTTTTTCCATTTCATTCGCCTGTTCTGGAACCATATTTTAATCTGCCGTTCTGACAGGCAAAGAGAATGGGCTATTTCCACCCTTCGTCTCCGGGTTAGGTAACGATTAAAATGGAACTCCTTCTCCAGCTCTAGAACTTGCTGCCTCGTGTAAGCAGTGCGGGAGCGTTTGGGTTCCCCTCCTTTGTAATTAGGGTTCACTGAACAAAAAGCAACAACACAGAAATAACTGACTGAACACCACGAATCTCACAAGGAATAGAACTAGTGTACTTAAAGTAAGCATTAGAGTAAGAAAAATGTAAACGTTCACTTCTATCATTAACTGCTGTTCAAAGAGATCTGAGCGGCTAGGACACTACACATCAAAGGCACATGGCCAGAAGTGTAATTGTACTGCAATAAAAATTTATGGAGGATGTGATTACTGACCTCCAGATAGGCGATCGTAAATCTAAAGAAAGGCTATTTACAGTGGGTGCAATAGATCCCGGACTTTCAGGTGGTAAAAAGCCCAGGCAAACGACTCACCGGTGTTTATATGCAATTTCTTCATCCACGGATAAACCACAGGCTCTTTGGAACAAGGAGTGTTTTGGTTGCTGAAGTTCTGGCTGCAAGAGGGCGGTGGGCTTGGAGTCACAGAGACACACTGGTGGCCATGCTTGCTTAAGTGGTTCTGCAGGCCGGTCTGCGATTGTACGTGACCCCTAGGCGCCACGACTTGCTCGCCCGAGCCCTGGAGGTTGCTGCAAGAGGAGTAGGGCTGCTCGCTGTACGCTGACCGCGGGTACATCGCCTCATGCTGGAACCCGGGCTCCCGTGCCCGGGTAAAGTATTCCGGAGAATGGCTTGGTAAGTAATTGTTCTGTGAATACTCTTCACACGGTGGAAATTTAGGGTCCACATAGTTAGAATTAATCAAAAACGAACTCATGACCTTTAATATCTGAAATGCAAAATAACTCAAAATTTTTTCTAACCCAGCCGTTTTTCCTGTTACCTAAACCCTCCTACTTTACTGTCAAGTGAACAAAGTTAGGCGTTCATGTGACACTGACAACCAATGGTTGGTCCCGTTCGATTCCCGGATAAGGAAATGGAATTGGACGCTGAATGCTCCCAAGCTTCTCCTCAGTTTTTGATTGCAGAATTTAGTGAGCTTCGTTTTTCATTCCTAAAACTTAGTAATTTTACAAATAGGTTATTTTTGATTTAAGTCCGTTAAACAAACCAAAATTCGTCTACAAGATTATCCCCCCTATAAGCATCAATGATGTCTTGCTAGTCGGTATGACTCCAAAAAATGAGTCAGCCTTTTTAACAACAAAAAGCATGAAATAAGATCTGATATATTAGAATGTGTCCGTGGCTTGTAAATCTTTTTGTAATCGCGATGCTAACGCCTTTGCAAAGCTTGGGGAGGAGGGAAGGCGTTATAGCTGGCAAAGATAAATCGGGCTGCTTTGGATCAATAGAAAATTCATCAACTAATTCAGGACACCTAAGTCAACAAATTACATTTAGCAATGCAGTAGACGGGGGTATATTCGCCCAGAATATCTCATCGTGAAACGATTCCACTTCAAACATATCCAAAATACCACAATTATAAGATAAAAACGTTTCACAGGTAGCAGCCACACACAAGTCTAAACGAAGTTGCCTATGTTCGATTAAAAACATGTTCACAAACTGTGGGAGGAATGTGAATACACATTTGCCTCTTGCTACATTGAATCGCATTCGTTGACTTTAATTAGAAAGACGCCTTATGCAACAGAGCTGCACCATGCTTGTAATTTGGAAATCGTATGTTTGTCAATTCCAGAGAAAATGTGACACAAATGACTGTAACGTTTTATTTAAAATGATATATGTAAGATTGAAAGAAAATGCTACGAATAACCGGATTTAAATAATTGGAGGTACTCATATTCTTCAGTTTGATAGACTGTAATGTCATGGACAGCAAACGACATGCGCATGGGGTTTCGGGTTGATTAATATCTAAGTAATATCAAGTCCTTTAAAGCTAAGCATTTTAACGGAGGAATGCGTAGTATTATCGAAAAAGGTAACAGTTACATTCCATACTTAAATGACGTAACAAATACAGCACCACAGAGTGCTGAGAGTTGTTACAACAAGATTGAAAAGGGAGGGGTAAGGGTGCTGTGGGGGAGGACAGCTCGCCATTCCAGACAGCAGTCTGACCCGCAGAATCAGGTAGATGAACACTATGCTTCGATTTTATTTATTCAGCTATATTATCGATTTGTACGAAGAAAATTCTAGGCGTGAATACATTCTTCTGTCTTCCGAGTGAATGTTGTAGCGTTTGTGTCGACTACATACTCCCCTAGATACGAATTTGTGACCACAACTTTGTCAACACAAATTCGGATCTACAGGGTATATATAGAGGACAGACATAGATTTCAGCATTTTTGGAGCCCAGAGACGTTCAAAAGCATCCATGTACCATTGAACCAACCGTGTTTTACATGCAGCTACACAACTTTAATGAGAATCCCTTTCTCTGATTTCTTTCAGTGATTTTTAGTGCAACTATGCAATTTTTTTAGCCATTGGAATATGAAGAATACTGTTTCGAAAATGCAACGAAAGCAATGTCAGTAAATTCGAATCAAAGTATTCAGGAAGATACTAAACAATCCATTTTCAGGGCCAACTTCGAATCACTGTCCAAATAAACACCAAAACGTTTATATAAATCAGCTAGTTTAGAGGACAGGTCACATGTGACGCTTTTCCAAAAGTTTGTTTCCAGCTGCACTGAGCAAAGAATTTTTCTTTATATTTAATTTATTCCCAAGCAGTGGGCAAGCCTCCACGCAGCGATTACATGAATCTTGTAGCAGCCATTGCGAAAATCACGCATCCTCCATTTCGATAAATTCTCCTAAAATAAAAAGCGTTACTGTGATGTACTTAGCTGATTTATCTTTATGTAGCATGTCGTTGGAGTGGGAACTAAACGACCAACTAAAATGACCCCTAATTTCTTTCATAACACATTTCCTTAAATAGAATAACTGCTATAAATTGTCCATAAAATTATATAATAAAAACTTTGCCAACCTAAATACATTTACGACGGAGAAGCAGAAATACCAAAAGGTTTCAATATCAAATTATTTCATGAATGAGGACAATGTGCTGTTTCAAAGAACCTTATTTCCGGTCGTAATAAAACATGAAAATGATGCAGAGATTGCACTCAGCACAGCCTCCGCATGTGAAATGAGTTTATGGCTTTTTGTACACAAAAAAAAACTTTTTACAGTTCTAACTTTACGGTCAGGTTGATCACTATCTTCCTAACCTCTCCAAAACAGAAGCAGAATTTTATATAATGTCACTCTTATCTAATATCCTTTGCCTTTACAGTTGTGTCTTTTTAACAAGCTTTCACTATTGCTGCAGTTAAAAAGGAAACGAAGAGCCTGTTCAAAGGCATCTTTTCATAAAAGATAATCCTGGTGCCTTGTTTGACTCGCTGTAATAAAAATGTCGACATTTCGGAAGTTTGGAAGATGAATATATTTACTGTCCCCTATCTGCTCTGCATTTCAAAAGAAGCTCGCTGTAGATTGCTATCCTAACAGAGGATGGAAGCATCAGCGGGATGGGGGAGGCCTTTTGCATCTCCTGTTTGGGGCTTGCCATAGGATAAGGGAAAGTAGGCCTCAATCTTACTGTAGAATAGGACTCAACACAGCCAATAATATGGACTTAAACAAGTGAACATGCAATCACTATCATCACTATAAGAGTTTAAAACCTAACTGTATTAACTTTAGTATCATCATTGTTTTTATATTTAGAAACACAGTGGTAGTTAAAGGGCTGCACTTATTTTTGCATTACCGGTATTTAAGTTACATATTCTGATAAATTTTGCAAAGTTAATATGTAATATTCTGTATTAAGCAACTTCATACACACACTTACTTCTCTCGACATCGTGCTCCCACCCGTTCATCTAGATACACAAGTTGAGGTTAGTTCAAGGCTAAACATGTCACCAACTTACTCCTACATCCTAGCATAGTTTTTCCGATTGCGTTGAATCAAATACAGACACACACACACACACATACACACACACACACACACACACACACACACAGAAAACTCCTTTGTGATTTCTTCCTCTACACTCTCAAATTATACATTACAGGACGCGTCGGATTGGGCTTTGCAAAAAAAAATCGCTCCGAGTGGTCGAAGAACTTCAACATAAACATATTCGTTCTCCTTTGTCTGTTCTTGAACTGATAACATCTAGTTAGAGTAAGGTTTTCCAGCAGCCCCTTTTTTTTTCCCTCATTCGAAATGCCTAGCAGCTTTTTAAGAAGTGGCCGAGTACCGGCCTGGTGAACATTTTGTTTTCTCCTTCAGTTTTCGTATTAATCTCATACACTGACAGTCTTTGTTAAACACCAAGGCGTGCCGTGCGTCCGAGTACATTTTAATATTTGTTAGACGCTTTGACCTGAGTTTCACCCCGCTCTTGGACTCTCCCCCTCTACAAGTTCTATAGTATGGATAGGTCTCTCAGTCATATTGAATTTTGCTCAGGTCATTACGTTTGAGAAACATAGCAAGGCAGGAGTTTACCCAAAACAGCATTAAGGCTCTGGAAATTCTCTCAAGCATTGCATGTTCTGTGATTCCATTAGCATCAAATATTTATTATAGAAGTCACAGCTCTAGTCTTCCATTGCCAGATACGCACGCAGATCCAATTTGAATAACAAAAGTAATTAATTGATCTGTTTTCTTGTGCATGCTTAGTTGCATTAATATAAAATGTTATCTTTTTCGCAGTTGCATATTTCATTTATTATTACATTGGCTTAGACAGAGAATAACATCAAGAGATAAAGCAAGTCCCAACACATTTTATATATGTGTGCATGTGTGTGTAACAGCAAATTAATTTAATCTGTTGAAAACGATTGTTTTAACACGTCAGAGGATTTTCTAATTAAAACTAAAGAGAATACCCTCACTCCACACAACCCCCTCCAGGCAAATGTCAGCAAATTTCTCGATCAACTTATATTCAAACTTGCTTAAACTATATTTCATTTTCTCCTCCATTTTCTCCTGATACATCCTCTATCATTTTGCAGATTAGTGAAACATGTCAATGCACTATTAAATATACACTCTAACACTCCTGTAAAATTTTATTTGGCAACCCTAGTGTGGTATTCAGACATAAATAAGAAAATGGTTCAAATATTTTCCAATTTCAACATGTTATTTCGCATATCAAGCAGGAATTTCAATTTAATGCGAAGGTTTGATGGATGTTGTTTTCGAGTGAATGTTTCAGTCAAGTTTGGGGAAACTGCATGTTTCTCGAAACCTACTTTCGGAACGTTTAAGTGATACGATACACATTATAACACAGTCCTAGGTGCCATTAAATGATATAAATATCATAAAAATCGCGTTGACGATTTCTTCCACCACGCCTCTACGCCCCTCCGACACACCCGCTATAGAAGCTGCTCTGATTGGAAATAATGATTTTAAGGAACAAAATGAATTCGTTTTATACAAAATACCTGAAATGTACGAATAATCAATTTCTTGGGGAAAAATAACAAAGGGTTAGGGTTAGGATTAGGTGTGATTTCACCAGTTCCGAAGATTTGCTTGATTTGCCGCCCAATTTAAACCGAGGCAGAACATTTAATATGCAGAGTGCTTGTATTCACTTTCCATCGGGGTATAAAGTAAATATTTAATCGCTACATTACAATAGTGACCATACTTCAAATGTACTTCACTGTAAAATGAGTTGGGAAGATCAGAGGACATGGGAAACGCTGTAATGACGCAAAGTGTTTTTATGTTTATAAAATTTAAACAAGCTATGTGAGATATTAACATAATCTAACCAGGGCAAAAAAAAAGTCTTTTGAATTCGATTAGTGTTAATTTCAACTATGATAATTGAAAAGAATAACTGTACATCTCTGCCTTTGTTAAAATAAGAAAATGTATGCAATATGCACGTTGATTTCATGTTTAAGTTGAGATATTAGACTATTCAAAAGCACTTGATTCGATGTGCATGCCAAAGAAGGTAAAAAGTAGTGACTTGAAGAGTCAGCCCCTAACTTTCCCTCAGTGTCTATATTTGTGTGTTTGAAAATACTTTTAGTAGTGTGCCACACAAATTGCTCATTCAAACATTCAAAATTTAAGAGCTTGTATATTTACTTTAAACAGATTTATTGCAGAGCAAGAATAGTGTAAACAGATTTAAAATGAGTTCGGTGCGCAGAACAACTCTAATCGCGCTACCTCGTAGACAGATTTAAATGGCTTATTGTGTTTAAATGATCGGACTAGGGGCCATGTTTTGCAGATTTTTGCGTAACTTTTAAAAAATTATGCTTTAGCTTGAGCAAGCAGTAAATGCGTATTAATGGTAATTAAATGAGACTGACATCCGGGTAATTTAAAATAGATGTTAGACCTTTGGCAAGATGTTAGATTTTTCTTCTGGCTTTTGCAAAATCTAATAAAATCACCTGCCTGCAAACTGCCTGAATGGGCGCTGAGAGATAAACTTATATTCTAAGAATCTATAAACCGATAACTGGAGGAATCCTCTCAAATTAATGCACAGAAAATGGAAGAAACTAAACTTTCCCTCTTTGAGATTTTGAAAATAACTTTGGAGTTTCCCGTTCCCATTTCTCGCGATTTATTTGCTTAATCTGATACTTGAAAGCACAATAATACGTCAATTAATTCCAAAACACTCTCTATTTTTGAGTCCCTTGCCCAGCCTTCCCCATTTACACTTATGCATGTCAATACTATGTTTGAAAATCTGATAAATGTATATATGAACTCTTATTTTATGCGCCACTGTCGTATTGTACAATGCATACTGGACTCGACTTATCTCATGGCCTCTTGTCCAGATATAAAAACAAGCATTTACTATTCATCCTTTTCCGCCATATCATCTAGTTTAAATAAACCGTTCCCGTTTCTATACAACTTGACTCTTAAATATTTTTAAAAGCTGATTATATCTGGCGGGAAATATTTATCCCATCTATTTGTGTTTTCAAAATCTCTTTTAACCGACACCACAGTTACTTCCGTCGGCGATCTGCTGATTTCTATTTATTGTGCACTGCGTCCTATAAAAGAGATCAATTAATCCTCTCTGTTTTTGTACAGATCCTGATCAGGATAGTTATCCATTCCTCCCCCACCCCCAATCCCACCTTTCTCTCTGTCTGTCTCCTTCTGTCTCCCCCTTTTTAGTTTGCATACTTTGTAGATTGTTGACAATCTCTGAAGTCTACTTCCACTTCCACATCTTACCTCGGTATCATTTTCTCAACTGTGCCGATAGCCAAGATCATCCCTTTTACCATTGACATCGAACTGAGTCTATCTAAGCAGACAACACCAAGTCACGCACGACGTAAACTTTTGACCCTCCACTTTTTGACCCCTTAGCTATAATGCTGTACTAACAAGTCCCCATGAACAGTTTCAACATCGCAATCCTCAGACAGTATTGCTGTACAGTTTTGTATTTTCCCCCACGAGGCTCGATTTTGTATTAAGCTTCGTCCTGCTTCAATTAAGACATATAATCTAGAAATGGAAAGATTTCACTGAGACACTGGAATACCTTCAAAGTTGGTTTGAAATCTTCAAGAATTTTTTTTTTAAACCGGCACTGTTTGAATGAATTTGTATCATTATTCGTCAGGAAAAATGTCCAAACTGAAAGGGTGAGTTTTGAAGAGACAAATGAGTACAGCACTTAGAAACTTCTGATAGTGCATAAGTAGAACATTTTGGGAAGATATCAAACAGACTCCTCCGACTCTGTCCTTCCAGATTAACTGAAACGGAAAGCATTGCGAGGGATGTGGCAGAAAGGAGAGGCATAATGACTATGAACTTGGTCTGAAGCGGGCTCTGGTGGCGGATCTGACACGTTACACGTGCGAAATAACTCCCCAAATTTTGTTCGTATTTATTTGAAATTCTGCTTTAAGTTTGATTTTTTTGTGCAAAATATCCTAAGATGTTCGTAGCAGAAGTCTTATTTTCGAAACCGTTGTCAGGTTGTCCGTTCTGTGCGTTCTGTGTGACGTTAGACTGTTAGCAGTCGTGTCTTATTTAATGAGAGCGGAGTAAATTTAAACAGGAAAGCAGGTCATCAGAACAATCCCTTAAGGAGTGAAGCATTAACAAGAGTTTTATATTATCTTTGTCATCAGATTGCATAATAATTTCGGAATCTTAAATACAATCCGAAATTAATTTAAACCAAATTCAATTCAATTAAGTTATAGTATTACATTGTAAATGCTGAAAAAAGAACACTGGGTCAATCAGTTTGGGATATTGGTGTTATTCTTTCAAACTAAACGAATTGGCTTTTCTGTTGTGAAAATAACTGGTTCAATTGCACAGCAGTAACAGATATCAACCCGTTTTTGTTTAAATCAATGGCAGTTAACAGATCTGCAAGGCCTGTGTACCATCAAAAAACTTAAGCCTTTCTTGGAGTATAAAAATTATGTAGGCTGGTACCAATTATATTGTGGCTTATAGTTTTTCTTTCATTTTACAATTTATTAAGTGAAGGAGATGCATCGAAAATAATAGTGCCGTGTAATTTAAAATCTCACCTTATGCCCGTGTAGCATTTAATTAGACTATGATATGTATGGTGGCCTCGTTTAGGTCGCACGTTCTGGAACAGGGTGCCGGTTTATGGCCTAAAGTGATCCCAGTTACTGACGGTTGAAACCACGGGGAAGAGTTAATGATAACGCATGAGATATGAATGCTTTTATCCATGTGGCTGCAACTAGGTGTTTAATATGGCGATGTAATCAACTGACATATTTATGACTCCGTTGCGCGTTGTGTGACCGCGTTTTGTTCCCGTTTCCCCTAAATTACAACCTTAACCTAGTCCTCCTATCCATCCAGTGCCTATAAGCGCACCAGATGCATACCACTTAAAAACCTTAACAAAGAAAATGCATCACCTTTAGATCATGCCCTTAACCTGATAAGAATGGTTATCGATCCCGAACGTTTCCATGGAACAGATAATTCGCTTGTGATGGTATCAGGAACAAATACATCTGTGTTAGAAGGGGCAAGGAAAGACACTACTTTCTCTGAAGCCAAATTAGCAATGTTACAGCCGACTATTGATTCATACTACAAACGTTTGTGCTTGCCTCGATTTACAAACTGCAAAGGAGGGCCTTTGGTTAGCCTTAAGGAAATGAACGGAATGGTTACTTGCTTTTACGGTTAGTTATAAAATATTTACATGAATTTCCTCCCTAGGAGCGTTAGGCCCAATTGGAACTCAACCAGTACTTTTCTACAACAGGCAGTCTTCTAATCTCTGTATACATCGTGCGATTCAATATCCACTTTCTTACATTCAGCTCTATCATTCTTAGTCAAGTTTGGTGTATTTTAATGATGTACTAGTATCTACCAACAGCCCGTAGATTCTTGCCACGGTCTGCATTTATTTATGCTCTGACAGTTTCTTTCTTACTCTAATCAAAAACTATTAAGCTAACGTATTTCCTGATCCTGCTTTTACATCAGATTGAAGGACATAAGTGAAAGGCCAAGCGTAGAAACCAGCAAGGTTGGAAAGAATAGAAGCTGGTTGTAGCTTTGAAGCCAATTGACAGATTAGTTTGTTCCTGAGAACAAACGATGAAAAAATTGCAAATCAGTATTTTTCTGCAAATGACAGGCTCATTCCAAACTCAAAACATTGATCCATTTTCTTTGAATTGCTCTCTCGTGTATTTAGGAATTGAAAACAAAAGAATAGTATTAATTGTTGCCATTTTCTATTTTACTACAGAACACTGAAGAAAAATGGAATTACACCGAAAACTCTGAATAAAATGAGAATTGAAACGCAAGACCACAATGTACTTCCTCCATCAGGGATGTGTTTTCCTGTTTACACACTGGATTTCCTCAGATATCAGCGCGGAAAGGCAATAAAAAAAGATGACAGAAACATTTCGGCATTCTGAGAGAAAAAAAACGTTGATTCCTAACAATGATTTAAAAAGCTTCCTCCCCAGCCCCTCACACTGCACACCGGAAGCGGCCAGAATTAAAAACTTGACGGATTCGAGGACTGTGTCACAACAAATGATTATCAACGGGTGAGAAACTTGACATTTACTGATGAGAAATGTCAAAGTATAATTTTCGTCTTATATATCTACATTTCTCCTTAGACTGGTTTGTGACTGTTCAAGTAATCGTTACAATGAGTCTCAAAATATGTAGACAATCATATTAGCATGTCAGGAAGTCCATTACAGTAAGGGAGATATGTTTCCAATGTTACTTGATAAAAGCACACGGCAACAATATTCAAGTACTGTAACAAACAGTAAGTGCAGTATATAAATAAAATGCTAACTAAATTGTAAAACTTCAGTCTATACTTTCTTTCAGTGATACTTCTAGGATCAAAGGATATCTACTTGTGCTAAGAATGTGTTTAGCCTAACAAATAGCACCTATTCCCTTGTCTCTCACTTCAACTTGAATCCCCAAAGGAAATTTTTTCGTATAAAAGTTTGCAAAACATTCAATTAGTTGTACTTAAGAGTCACATTTCAAAACGATGACATTTATAGACGTTAAAAGACTATAATTCAAAACTGACAGCAGTGGAAAACAAAGTTAAATGCTACAATTTAAGATTAGTGATTGGGTCTCACGCCTGAATTCTGAACAATCGTGGAAAGCATGGCACACCTAATATTTGTATGTAGCTTTGCTAGTCCATTGCGATGGGTGCAAAATACGCCACTGTCCTCTTTTAGACATACATCTTGGACTTTTTAGCAGAGATTAACATTTTTTGCCCCCCCCCCCCCCCCCCCCTCCCCCGCATACCTTGAAAACATTATGAGTTCTAAAGTAGTTATGGTAGAAGTACCCTAGACAAGAAAAAAACGAAAACAAGTGTGCGAAATTGCGAAGGTGAGGTTGTGGGGGATCCCGGGCGGGGTGATGATTGAATCACAAAATATCATTGAGGGTCATTTTGAGATTAGATTCCGCCATAACATGGCTGCGGTTGAATCGCGTACTACGTTTCATTTAACCTTTGCAAAGTCTTACGGTATAATTGAAAATATATGTTTAGATGTGCCTTCATTTAAACATTGAAACAATGGCAACCAATTTGATTCCTCATTTAACAAGATATATAACGACCATTCTTTCGACATTCAGTTAGTGGGGGAGTCAAGGTTTGGAAAATTAATAGTCCCGGGAAGTGCTTAAAATAATATCAAGATGTCCTTGACTATACACGGCCTTCCTCAAAAAGGCCGATTTCCTCTTCAAAACATGCATGTAAATTGATAACAAAATATGAAATTTATCTCCGCGGGACAGTGTTGACTGCCCGTTTTCCTGCAGAATGATTTTTTTCCCAGGAAATTGCAAAAACGTTTTGAATATTTTAAAAATAAAAATAAGTTAAAGTAAAAACGAAGAAACTGCATCCGGGAGGAGCCATGTTTGCTATTTGGATTATTAACGACAGTAAAGTTTGCATAAGGTTAGCCACTGGAACATGTTTGAGTATCCCTACTCCCACCCGTGCTCAATGTTAAACAGTTGAAATTCATATTTATTTTAATCTTTGCTCCGAATCATAGATCAACAAATCAAACACTAAAAATCAAAGTAGCTTGCTATAATTGTATTAAGTAGAAGGGGAAAACGAATTCTCTATCACTCAATGAATTTGCAGAAAGCAAGACGAAAGGTTACCAGAAAAACCGCACCAGTGTATCTTATATATGAAAAATCTAATCCAGTTCAATGTCAAGATAAGACACGAAGTGCATTTAAGTCTATTTAAGTAAAATAATCAGTCGCCTGGAAAGAGGCCAATTAATCTCGAGCACTATAGCTCACGTTTCTTTATAGTTTGGGCCCATTACGCAAAGGATAGGTAAAACGTATATTTGAAGAGTCTAAACTATTGCACTATTGTCAATTAAACATTTTTCAAGTTTATTTTTTCTCATTTTGAAAGATTCTTTGCGCCCTGCTGGCAACCATACGCGTCCTGTTGTATAGTTCGACGTAACTTACCTTGAGCAGTACAGTTACATCAGATTTTTAACTGTAGTCAGGAAAGATTTTGGAGCCTACGGGTCTGGTAAAGGAGCCCTGTTCGATCCCTCTGGAAGGCTAGCCACATTATACGCTTACAGTCTGCAAACCCAGTCAGATAAAGTTCAGCGTCACTAACATTATACAGAATGTGAAATATATTGTACCTTGTCAACTCCCCAGAACCATAAAACTAACTTTAACGACCCCACGTGACTTTTGAGAGCCAGTAGGGGTATCTGACTGCGGTATGGGCGATTTTTACGATCTAACTTTGAGATAAATACCCAATTCATTTGACATCCCAATGTCATACCGACTTCTTGTATACGTAGTTTGTTATATTCACAAGGGGAGCATGCACTTTGCAGGATAGACCTAGCATTTGCTGTGTGACTTATCAACTACCGATAAGCACTTGGACGTTATTTTGGTAAGTTGAGTTTAAACTGAATAAGAGTTACCTGTTGCACAAAACTGAAGCCAGATTTACAAAAAGAATGCGTGTAGTTTGTATTCTAGACAAACTTCGGAACAACACATCTTATTACTGTATAAATCTCTGGGGGCACAGCGCAGAAATCAAGTCCGAGACACTTTCTTTTCGAATATACACAACAAAAGTGAATAGAAAACCAATCTTTTGAAGTATTTAACTAGAAGCTGACGGGTTTAGTTAGGTCCAGAAATCACCAAATGCAAAAATGCAAATCACATAAATACCGCCTTTAAACATAAACGAGCAACTCAAAGCCGCGCGTAGCAGTTAGATGAGCTTTAGGATTTAGCATGAATGGTTAACTAAAACAGCCAGGTAAGGTTTCGTTTTAATAATATCTTATAGAATAATTTTTGAAAGATAAACCCAGAACTAATCAATAGACGTTGATGAAAATTCCTTCTATGCACTGTTTATATGTCTTTACAAAATGCACCATACATGGAGTTACGACCAAACACGTAGCAATACTGAAATATATCACTGCTGATAATATTTAATGTACTAGACACTAACAATAAATATTCACCAGAATTAGTAGAACGCATTTCACCAGGTAATAAGATATCAGTCTGTTTACAGTCAACATATTACACTGCAGAGATTAGGGGTAGTTATGAGAAACTTTTACTTTATTTTGAATTAAGCTACAAACAAATACAAAAAGCTTGGTGGCAACATACTGTAGGAAATAAACATAGCGTCGTTCTCTCCTACAGAAAATATGCCATTCATCACTCTGCCCATTACAGTCTAGCTATAGGCAACATTATAAACTTTTTTTGTATTATTTACAACCATTATAACTCACTAAATAATCGTATACAATCATCGCTGATTTCAGAATCTATCCACATGTATTACGAAAGATTAGAATTCTACAAGGTATTTCGACATACATACTTTGCTTAAATTCACCGACAGCATCAAGGACAGTAGCTACAGGAAGGTTGTTATATTTTTGAGGTGATAGAGTAACAGCAAAGATTTTCGCATTTACTCAGCGCATTGGGTGGCTAGGATGGGGGAGAGGAAGATCAAATTGTACAACTTGCGTCAATTATAAATAAGTTATACCATTTACAATCCACAAAAACCATGCTACTTTTTGAAGAGAGCACCAATAATTCACTGACACAGACATATGTAAGATAGTAACAAGCACTTAACAGCGAAAGAACAACACAGGTTAAAAGAAATACATGTTAGCAATACCACAGAAAAGTTTAATTCATCTTTGATATTTAACAACACATGGGGAAAAGGTGCCTCGCTGTACAGTACTGGTGCACGGTGTCTGTTATTTTTCTGTTTGATATGTTAGGGTTGAAAGGCGCTTGATCCGGCCGTCATGCTCATGCTTTTCAGCTTGTTGTCCTTTTTCCATTTCATCCTCCGGTTCTGGAACCAAATCTTGATCTGCCGTTCTGAGAGACATAGAGCATGGGCAATCTCTATTCTCCGCCGTCGGGTTAGATATCTGTTGAAGTGGAACTCTTTTTCCAACTCCAACGTTTGAAAACGAGTATAAGCAGTCCTGGCTCTTTTCCCGTCGGGTCCACCCATACCATCTGCTAATAAATACAGGAAGTTTTTTTTATCCATGCTGAATTATCCATCCCCTTTGAAAATATCATTTTTTAAAAAATACAATTTTATACCTTGAAAGTGGAATATTCCCTTCCCTGGGCCTCTCCGGGCACGTATGTCAAAACGAAAGTATATTGTCCCAATTTGAATTGCTATTAATTATCATTTTCCTTTTCATTGTCTGAGCATGTAACCTGTGTCTTGACGGCTGTGCTTCTAATTATCTGCACACACATACACACACACACACACACACACACATACACAGACACCAGACATGCACTGTTATACACACGTACATGCTCATGCCTTTTGAAAAGAATTGTCTGAAATTGCGAGCAGATCCATAGAAAAGGGTCACAACAACATTGATTATCCAGGGTTAGTGCACAGTTCTTTTTGTTATTATGCTGATCGTGCAGTTAAATTCATAGCTTTCAATGCGCTAATATCATAAATACCATATAGTATTTACAACCCATTTGCATCAAACATAACAAATTTTCATATTTACTGATTTTTTTGGTCGAACTGCGTATTATTTTGCATGCACGTTATAAAATTGCTGTTTAACGAGTTAATTTAAATTTGCCGAAAAATTATTAGTTTCTGTAGAGCTGAGAAATACAAATTGTTCGTATTTTGTGTCACTCAGGTTGCACAATAGGACGCCATGAATTACTTGACCACAGAGCAATATTTAGAGTGATAAACAGAAAATGAAAGTGTACCATGGCCAATGTGCAGCTTTCTCATCCAAGGAAATATTTGTGGCTGCTGTTCTGGTGTTGTTGCTTGTGTTGGTTCTTGCTGTGCCCTGGAATGGTTGTTGTTGTTGGCTGGAGTGCCCTCTTCGGCATCCGAGGATGCTCCGGCTTCGTCCATTTCTGTAAAATTACTTGCTGAACTAGAGGAGGTAGTCGGATCAGAAGGGGAACCCTTGACTCCGTGACTGTCTTTGCCGGAACAAGGAAGGGGTTCTGGAGATGAGAGGGTGCAGCTCGCTGCTTGTCTGAACCTGGTTTCTGTAGCTGGAGGATAGCTTCTGGACTTTTCTGTATTAACCACTCCAAAGTGGTTAGATGAGGCTGAACGGGTGATGCTAAGGTCCATACCATTGTAGTTGTAGCCGTAAGTGCCTGAATGCATGGTGCCTGAATCCCTGTATGGTCCGTTCTCGGAGCTGCTCGTCCCATAATTAAGTAACTGATAATCCGGGCCATTTTGATAGCGACCGGAGAATGAGTTTACAAAGTAAGAGCTCATTTGGGTTTTTTTTGGGTTGATTTGTGGTTGTTAGTCGTTATAACCCAGTCCTGCACGATTTATGATATATTAATGAATTATAGAAATGACTGTACTTCGTTCGCTTCTATGTATGCGGCCAAATATGGGGGGGTGCGAGACGGAATCACGTGCTTTTGTTGACCAGTCGTAAATTCTCACTGATGACCTCAAGGGGTAATTCATGCTCTATGGTTACAAATAATGACGATCCAAGAATCGTTACGCCATGTGAATGCAAGGTTCCAAATGATGGCCAGGTTTGCAGAGTGCGCCACCTACTGGGCTCTGTCTGCGCTACACAAATTAAGGTCATTGCTTATGTATTGACATTGGTATTCTTATTTTAATAATAACACAGCAAAAAAGTTATATTTTAAATTTACCTACCTCAAATCAATATAATCCATTGTCCCAGTGCAGTTCGCCACACTAAGAATTCAACATGTGACAATGCATTCGTTTAAAAATTCAAAAAGGTTAAATATAAAACGGCTATTCAATTATCTTGCAATTGAATTGGATATCACGTTTTATAGCTATGCTTGGAGTGGAGCAATTTATTTCGTTTTTTTTGACCAGATACATTTAAAAACAATTAACTTTCCATCCTTGACTAGTCAGTTAAATGTACGCATTCATCGACCGACGATTGGTATTGCGATGTAAGCATTATTATTTGCTAAATGTTATCCTTCCAATGTGTTTGCGGGATCTAAGTTCGTTTTGAAACGTGATAATCATTGCGACTAAAACACATTAGATTTAACTTTTTTTTTGAAAAACCCTTTATCTTCAAATTGCACAGGCTCTTTCAAAGCAAGGAAAAGCTTAATTCTGAAAGTTCAAATTTGCACATTGGTGCACTGCTTGGGCTGCGCGGACAGCATGGTTCTTTACTATGTTTTGAAGGAGTTAACTTAAGAAAATACACGTTTGAGCTAATTATTGACAACACTCCTATTTGGTATCAATATGCTTTAAAAGACCTATGTAATTATTCTGATTAAAATGCGAAATGAATACTATTTATTCACATTGCGGAGGGTTTTGTATACGCATGAGTCCAGTCTCGTTATACGATCTTTTACCGGATTCGCATTAGCTCTTCAACACAACTCACCTCCTGAAGGGCTCAGTGAACAATTAGCAGAGTGCACTTCTGCATTTTTGGTGCGCATTGCTGTTTATTTCGAATGATGAAGGATCATTCGATACAAAGAATGAGTTAGTTTTTTTTGCGGGGACTTTTTTGGCCACAAGATATTTGTGCTCAAACTCCTTTTTTTACACAAATGTGCTTTAATAGGATTGTACCACGACTGGAGCGTGCATTTAGCATGACAGGACGTGTTTTCTTGATTGTGCAACAGAGAATGTAATAATTGGAACCAGGAAAACAGTTGGTAAATACCGCAAAGTCCTTCGCTTTCTCTCTATAATAAACTGGGTGCAAATTTCAAAAATTTGCCAATCATTATCAGTAATGCTTTTCTAACCTACCCTGATTTTAAGAAACAGGCAGTAAACTGATTACTGGAATGAATTTTGAATTTGAGGGAAATCATAGAGATAAATCAATTATCAGAAATTCAATGATGACTGTCAAGTTTTGTTTTGTGATATATTACAATCTAGACTAAGATGAGCTATGTGTAGCGAAATGGAGAATGTAGAGTTTATTCCAGGTCTCCCTGGCAGATTATCAATGGTTTCCATGCACATCAGGATTCTTAAATCGAAAAATACACATTTTTTAGGAAAAAAAACTTTTATTGTCATTCCAGATAAGGACGCTCGGCCTTTGAAATATATGACGCATGCTACAATCACATTAATTTTAAAAGAAACTCAAATAAAAAAATAACCTCTTACTCAATTCTTAAGACACTTGCTTTTATTTTCCTCTCTCCGTTACGAAAACAAACCAAAATACAATATTTAAACCTCATTGTGTAATTTACTCACGCACGCACACTCATTTCCACACACGCACGCATACATAAAATAAATCAAAAATAGTTGTTCACAGTGCACAAAAACATACACCATCTTTAAACTAGAGAGCTGAGACGAACGTCAAAAAGTCACAATATTGCAACAGCTCAATTGAGATACAGAATTAATGGAATGCTAATGTTTTAAACTATTGACACCAATGTGAAACATTGCCTGCTTTGCTAAACCATAGGAATGCATAACTTTATAATAAATCTCACAACAAATACAGAAATATACAACTCCACTGGTGCGCAACAGCAAACAAATTGTAAACTTTGATTTTTTTTTATTTTTAATTAAAGAACTGCACAGCGTTCCCTTCCTTTTCTGTATCTTGTTATTTTCACTCTGTCGATTTTTCTTCTGTTTCTTCTCCGCTTAATTGCGAGGAGCCCAGCAATTTGTTCTCTTTTTTCCATTTCATTCGCCTGTTCTGAAACCAGATTTTGATCTGGCGTTCTGTGAGGCAAAGTGCGTGTGCAATCTCTATCCGGCGTCTTCTGGTCAAGTAGCGGTTAAAGTGGAACTCCTTTTCCAGCTCTAGAGTTTGATATCTAGTGTAGGTTTGCCGCCCGCGCCGTCCGTTTGGGTTAAAAGCTGAGGCTTCAGAGGACAAGTAAAGGAAGATGGACAGATAGAGAGACAGGCAGAGAGGGGAGATAAAACAAAGCAGTCGATTATTGCATGTCTGTGGAAATAGTACTGAAGCATTTAAATAACAAATGGACTACGTTGATTATACTGGACGTTATATGTTAAACTATAAGTTTCATAATAAACCGTTTGATGAGCACTTTCGATTCTGAAGCACTAAATAACGATCTCTACTCTAGGCATGCTTACACTCCGTTCGATTAAGGCTTTAGAACTGGTGGGCCCATTGACTGTGCAGTAAAATCTTCAGTATAAGGAAAACAACTGATCATTCTTCATATTAAAGGTCAGCGTTACATTTTATATGCACATTCTTCTATATCAGACGTTGAGCTTTAATAATTTATTCGGTGTCTTAAAATTTGCAGCAGTTCACAATTTCATGTGAACTGTATTAACGTCTTCTGAAATCATTAAACATTTAATTCTCCTTTCCAAGAAATCGGTTTAAGGGCTAAAAATGCTAATCACTTTCTTGCTAAGTTCAATATCAACATGAGTTAAAGTTTGTTTCTCTCCAAATATGTAAGGGAAAAAGTACAAAGGGCAAACTTACCACCACTGGAGTTCATTCTTTGCATCCAAGGGTACACTGGGAGCGAACTCTTCTGATCATCCACCTCTCCATACAAAATTCTGTTTTGTGTACACTCAAATTTGCGTTGTTCCGCGTTAAAATGTGTTGCATCTTCCATTGAGTGATATTTGGAGCTGGTGGAGGAAGCGCCGCATGAAGGGTCTTTTTCCCGATAAAAACTGGGGGCACCGTAATCACAGGGTGTCCGATTGCACGCATACGCTCCGTTGGCTTGTTGGTAGTAGGAGGGTGACGGGTAGCTTTTATCCTGCATGCTTGTAGCCCCATATGTGGCGGAATAATGTCTTAAAGGGTCGTAACTGGATGAATATAGCGGAATCTGCCCAAGGAAGGACTCTTGTCCACTAGCAAAAGTGGCCGGGAAAGTGGAGTTCACAAAATACGAACTCATTTGTTGGCTGTGCTCTGTTATGATTTGTTGTGTATTAGTCCAAGTGCCTGTGCTATTAGCAGTTAGCGAGATGGGTTTGATTCGGGATGGCCAAGTGCCAGAAAGGACAGCAGGAAATATAACCATCTGATCATCGACTGACCAATGGCAATACTGTTTGATAGGAAAATAGTACCCATGAGGGACTTATCCATGAATCAGAGAGGCTAGCAGAAACCGGCACATGTGATGGGAAAAAGTCCCAAACATAGAGAGAGAGAGATAGACACGCATAATCTTTAGATTCATTGTGTACTGAAATGAATAAAATGTATAAGAATGTTTAAGTTAATGCATCTGTGCACTGATACAGACAGCGAAATAATTTAGCCATTCAAACTAAACAAACAAGCAAAATACAACGTCGTCCATTGTCCGTGTATTCAGATAATTCACTAAACACTTATTAACTCAATTTTATTGCTTTCTCCCTTTTAAATCGGAGCGCGGTTTTATGCTTCTTAACGGTCTGTCTTGGATTGCGGCTGTATAATTCAAGCTGCATTCAAGATGTTTCCATTAATATTTCCAACTCTGAACGTTATTTGCCACACTATTTCGTTCGCATATTCCGGTGGATGTATAGAAATTTCTCGGTGGCTTGTATATTATGCACTCCAGAATTCCTGATAGTCGTTTGTTGTGCTTGTGTTGCAGTTCACTCTGTGTAAGAATGTGATTCGGCGAATGCGGTTTAATTTTGAGGCACGAAAAGGGGATCTCAATGCAAACTTTTAATCTTTAATTGAAACCACAAAGCGAACGGAAGATACTTTCCAAAATGAAAAGACAACTAAATCAAATCCCTGAAAAGGAGGAACCAGCGGAGTAGGTCACAAAACAAGCGCCACGATGAATGTGCAACTATAGTTGTACTCTTTCAAAGTTTCCGGAAAAAAAGTATGTGAAGAGTAATTTCGTGTAAAAATGCCATAAAGACAAACTCAGAGCATACAGAAAATGGTTTGAAATGAGTTAAAACCCCAAATGTTAGACAGTTGCTCCTTTGTAAAGTGAGACCGTAGCTGCGACCAAGGACAGCAAGACGGGATTTTGGCCGACGAAAGTATGGAGATATGTAAATATGTTCTATTTAGCTGACTGAGTGCACCATTTACAGACTAATCCCACATATTTAAACAAGTGCGGACGAATATTTCTGAAGGTCAGTTGCGTTAAGTGCTTAATAGATAACTGGGCAATATTGAGGACTACGCACAGCCTGCAAGCCTTCACATAACTAGTTTGGTGCACACACGTCAGATATCATTGAAAGTTGTTGTTCCGATTTCTGTATGTGATATTTTGCTGTACTCTTACATCATGCCTTATTGAAATAAAATAGTTGCATTGTAATATTTGTATTCGTAACGTGTATTTGTTCAAATGTCAGTTCTTTTATCCGTGTCTCTTAGAGTTATTTGCAAATTTCATCATGTTTAAAATAAAGAAACACAGAACATGCTGCATCCGACTGTCTACCCAACGATTTCTTTCTAAAACAAAATTGGTTTTGTTTTTTTTTTACTTTAGACAAAAACTCACAAATATATTTCAAGTAGATATAATTTTTTTTCGTGTATAATTCTGAAATGCTACAAGTGTCAGAGAGTTTATGTTGGACATTAAGGATTTATTTTTAGCAGTTCCTCTGGAAGGCACCACTTCCTGGTTTCAAACATCTGTTTCAAGGAATCATAAGCTGAGTAGTGAGAAATTAAAGAAAACCTTATTTCTAAGTACCACTTCATTTTAAGAAGCAGGTTGTTTTCTTGCTAAGAAACATGGTGCGTTGAACATGGTGAGAAAGAAGAATTCAATGCGAGGTGATAAAGCTTTTTTCCCACCTGGGAGATTCCTTGTATGAACTTCTTTGAAGAAATGGCCGTTACTAGATTCAGACCAAATGCCTCCAACTCACATCTCGAGCTAATTTAATTTGCTTTTTTTTCTAAAGAAGTGTCATCAATGTCCTAATTTTTATGAAAGCTTTGAACAGTGATAAGAGTCTGCATATACACTGCAACTTTAAAAATGACTTTCATATTCGGAGGCAACTGCTTTAAACCAGTCACAATCTGATGTCAAATCTTCTGTATTTTCACTTCCAGGCACTAAAATCTCCAAGTATACATGTCTTCGTAACTGTAAGTTGGTTTGGTTTCACCAGTTTTATTCTTAAAATAATTGATACTGTATAATTTTATCGCCTTCATCATTGCAAGTTATCAGGGTGATTTAAAATCGATGTAAGTTTTGTTGCATTTATTAACAAATGCATTCAAAACTAAGTTCAGAATAAGTAGGCAGGACATATATTGTAATATTGAGGCTTGTTCTGGAGCTCAATTATTCAACGCGGGTTTCCAAATAATATCGTAGCTGCTATTTGAAGATGTAAAGGCTTTCATCGAACTGTAAGTCTTTTTTTAGAAATAAGATGAGATACTTCTTCAAAAGCAAACTTGGTATTTGCTCATTTCAACGAGCATTTTACGGCTTAAGTCTTCGGTATTCCTCCCATCCCGACTATGTTGCCTTTTACTGTGAGCTAGGTCACCATTTACTTTCCGTGTCAATTTCAACATCTCTTTGTCAGGAAGGGAATATAAAATCCCCTTTGAAAGTGTGGGAAGGTAAAATTAAAGGGGCTGGTAGAAGTTCTGTGTTTCTTGTTTCTTGTTTATGAGCCGGGACATTAAAGGCAGAAATTCGTTTACAACCGCTCTGGTTACGCTGCAAAGGAGGAGTCTAGCACATAAGAAGACTGGCTTGCAGTGTTGCTATCTGTCCAGGGATGCATAGCAAATTTGGGCCTTGCTCACAATTTGCTGCTAAACCGATGGAGACAAGAATTTATTCCAAAGAGATCTGTTTCCACGAAAATTTTACAAATCTCAACTGCAGATTAACGTTGACACAAAATTCGATTTAGTCAATAACCTTTCGTCTAAAGCCATTCTCTTTAATACCCATTGGCTGCTATTAAGGTAAAGCGTTTGTGAGAAAGACAATGACGATTGCAATGCATTTACATTCGGGCATATCACCATGTAAAGATTACAGTGAACTGTATCTTTTGCGTATACTCGATTCATGGTTTTCTTCTTTAAAAGGTGCAACCAAAAACCATAAAACCACACGCATACATAGTTCTATTCTAGTTAGTACAATTATTGCATTGAGTCACAGAAGTAAAGCGAAAGCAAATATGTAACTTACTAGACACCAATAATGATAACCACTGCTAATTTATTCAGTTATTTATAAACATACATATTACCCGCAATCCCCCCCACCACATGCACATGCACACATGCTCGCGCGCACACGCACACACACAGATTATATGTATACAACATAGATGCTCGTTTACGCAGCTCAGATCGTTTGCAAATTCTGCAGATAACAGAGCACATCTCTTTTGCTCCCTATTTCCCTATTTCCCTATCTCCTCGGCCGAATGGAACGCAGGGTGGCAGCAGAGAGCAACAAATCCTATCTCCCTGCCCCCAGCAAAAACCGTGATAGATTTACATTATATCAATGCAGAACTACTGGGCCTCTTGGTTGCTAAACATTCTAAACCACGGTCATCTAAACGCCATCTTATATTATATCATCAGACTGTTACCCATTAACAGTGTAAGCTGAAACCTTAATGCTCCCCAACAGAAAAAAGAAGCCGTCGCATATCATAAACGTTTGAATTTGTAACTCCAGAAGCAGGTAGTTGACTAAGAACAAATTATTAACAATCGTGAAGCACAATTGGGGGAAATATTATTATTACAGCATAACTACAATACGTCAGTGCGTCAGTCTTAGCGACACTGTCCGTCCTAATTGCTGTTCTTGATAAAAAAAAATTGTTCACGTAATGAGCGACGCTCGAGAAAAGATTCACAATCACCGAAACTCATTTAGCCTTACTACATAGCAAAACTCATCCTCGACCACGATTAAAGATCTTGTCTACACGCCACAGCGACACTGGATACCAGGTTTCCTAACTATGTAACAGGGCTCTGAAATAGAATCACTTGCCATCAATTCCCAAACTTGCGGTCTTCCGGTTAAATTAAAGAAATAACTTTCACAGATTATTCAAATTGAAGCCTCTGAGCACGAACTTATTGTAATCAAAATGCAACAAAATATTTTCTAACTGAAGTCAACAAGTCTCCATTTTCTCATCTTTCGCTGAAATTCTGCACAAAATCATTCATTACAATTGTTGAAAAATCCAATGAAAATATATGCAATATTCGTCTTACCTTTGCAACAGCATCTGTGGTTTTGCTTCGATCATCGCTTGCTCAATTTGGAAATAGCGCGATTTGTTATTTCGCGAGCAATATTGTCCCAAACTGATAGCCGTCGGTTAACCCGCGGCCGCAGACTAGCTGGATTTATGCATCAGTCATTTACACGGAAATCGGAATTCGAGCCTCTTTGAAAAATGATATCATCCACATCACTGAGATTTGCGCCACTCCATCCATTGCTGAAATTCCCAATCGACAGACAAGTGGTAGATTACAAAAAAAGTCTTGTTTACTTTGTGTGCGTGTGTGTGTGTGTCTGCATATACCGATATATGTGTTTGCACCTCCAATAGTAACTATCAAAGTTTCAAAAAAAACCGATAGAAGCCCTGAGGAGGACACAGGACCGACCCAAGGTACGGTGGCCAAAAGAATACTGCAATATACTCACATGGGAAATCATAAAAAGTTCATGTTCACGGTTGCTATCCACATGACCGGCAGCGGCCAATCGAAGGACCGATCCACTCATAAAGTTCTATCACAAAGTTGTAAATTTTCATAAAACAACAAGGAATTTATTGCATTTCTTCATGACTAGCAACAACAGGCCCCCTCGCCGCCATGTTGTGTGCCAATGAAAAATGATAAAAAGAATATTTTCTAAAATGTTTTCTTACATAGTGGCACTGCTTTGCCTGGGTTACATTCTCTTTTATTCTATTCCACATTATATTGACCTTGTTCCCTGTTCGCTTCCCATGTTCGCCGCAGCCTTTCTATAGAAAGATAAGTGACTGCAGGAACTAGAAAAAAACGCTTTTGCGAAAATTAAGTCTTTTTTTTGACTTTTTCCTTTGCTCGTGCACTTGAGGTGAAATCAACAGAAAATCGCAATGTTAAAATGGTAATTTAGCTTCTCATAAGGGAATAAAATGGTTCGTTAAACGAAATTTAACTGGGTTCGTCTTGAAAGCCAATTTTCTCTGTTCGCAAATTTCCTACCCAAACTTAAATTTTAATTCGTATTATCCGTGTTTTTATTTTTTAGGGGGACAAAAGTGTATCGTTATTACAGTAGCATAGCGATTTTCTTGCTCAAATCAGGAAGATTCACTCGTCTTGTACACCATAAATTGAAAAGGACAAGAGCGAGTATAAAAAGACCTGAATCTCTTCTGCGTAAATGGCTGGACTTACATCCACCATCTGTATGGCGCAATGTGTGTAAAATATTTTTTTAAAATTAGATATTTAAATGGCAGAAGTAGTGAATTGATATATAATAATTACACTCGTGAATGAATCAAAATTACACTAATTGTTTCAATTTGTTTTCTAAGGCTGGTAGAAGAATATTTACCCCTGCTTTCCGACAAAAAAATACTTCTTTGGTGAGGAACACTTAGATACGCAAAGGGTTCTTAACGTACAATATAATCGTTAATTCGTGGTATAACAGTAATTTCAAAATTGGTGAAATCTTGCCTTCTTTCCCCACGCCGAAACCAGCTAAGTTCTCTTGATACGGTGTTATAGCTTTACTTAGACCGGGGTGGGTTTACATTCCATGAAAACGTCCCATTGCCTTTGTTGCGCGGTATTGTTTAATCAGGGAAATCTAGATTTAAGGCCTGGAGACGCACAGACAGGAGCGCAAAACTCTGAATATGACGGACAGAAAAGCTTCCTTTGATTGAATTGGTCTTAATTCATAAACCCAGACTCGAAATTGTATTGTTTCGTTGAGAATTAGATTATGATCCCTTCTGGCTTGTGTGTATTTTGTGGCAGAAAATATCGACTTTGACAGAGAAACACAATAACGAAAAACATTCTAGTTTTATTTCACAGAACAGTTTACATCCTTCATAGCTAAAGCGCGAAATCTCAACTGAGCAAACATAATGGTCCATATTTAAATATCAAAAAAATGTACAGTTGAGTTACACTCAATACTTCCACCAGAACACCATTTTATATATTTAACTGTAACAGGAGTTTATACGAACACAATCATCTGTACACCAGTTGTGACTACACAAGACTCCTTTTGGAAACTATTCTTAATGACAAGAAAGTACATCAATACAGTAACAAATATAAAGTCACTGACATTGTTTTCCTTTAAATACACCAGATAAAACAATGCTAATTACAATAACGACAATTCATCACATCAAAAAAGCTAACGCACAGAACTATATATAACTGTACTTGTACAATATAGATTTGGGTTATTCCCCTCTAATCTGTACAAAACAAACTACAAGTAAAACTGTTACAGATTTAGGTAGTATTCTGTTTCAGTGTTAAGAAATGAGGAACGAATCGTTCCATTTGTTTAAAAAAGTCTTTTAATTTTATCCCTCTTGTTGAGTTTTTAAAAGTTTTTGTTTTCATTCTTCTTGCTTTTCGTCGCCTGCATCAGGTGGACTGGTCGCTTTACTTTCCTTCTTCCATTTCATCCTCCTGTTCTGAAACCAGATTTTGATTTGCCTTTCAGTCAGGCAGAGAGCGTGTGCGATCTCGATGCGTCTCCGTCTAGTGAGGTAGCGGTTGAAGTGAAACTCTTTTTCCAGCTCCAGGGTCTGATAACGAGTGTAAGTCTGACGTCCCCTCTTCCTGTCTGAAGCTGGGCCATGATCAAGGAGAGGAATCGAAAGAAAGAGCGAAACAGTGAGGAAGAAAATGAAATTACCAACAATGCAGGAACAGCATTCTAACTAAACAGTCGGCATTGCTCTTTCCTGTACTCTACTTCTGCCACTAATTTCAACATAATGTCCAGAATATCTCCGTGACAGATACAATAAATTACTGTCGGAAACTAACTGATTACAATCAATATAAAGTTTGTAATAATGCTTTATAAAGAAGACGGGGATGACTCTATATGGGGAAGTATTTAAACTGTTTACACAGCACTTACAGGCCTGAGACAACTGTCATGTTATGAAACTCAGAAGCATGTTGACTTTAATTTTTTTTATTCAACTACTATTTTAAACAAGGAAGCATGTATCAGCTTAACAGCTATAATCTATTGATGGATGATCATTGTCCTACATCCTTACCGCACTCTGCATTTGGTAAATTAATGTTATGTAACTTAAAATTGACAGGTAGTTATAAAATGGATACTGTTATTTGTTTTAAAGCACAACACAGTGGTACATTTTGTCTGAATGGTCCTGCAAGAAAGCACTAATCTCCAAATTCGGTAAAGATTCCCGAACTTTGTACTTCACCAAACATTCGGAAGAAAAGGATACAAATGCGGAATAGGCACTGAAAAAAGCCTCTCGCTTGTTTGGTGGAAGGTAACTGTTTAAATAGGAGAATGGAGCTCCCTCCTCCTCCCCTGCCCCAAACCACCCCTCTTTCACACCATTACCGCTGCCGTACCTTATATATTGCATAAGCACAAACTGCCGCATTGGTTTGACTGGGCCAAAACAACGGTAGGCTGCACATTTAAGTAATTCCCATTGAACAGAAATATCCTTATAAATATTTAATGCTAGTTTTTGCGCACTTTTTGTAGCCTCCATTTGTCATCTTCTTACCATCCCTGATCTATTCCGCTTCAATCACCACAAGCAATTCCCCCCAACCCACCCCAGCTCTCTCCACCACCAACCCCCTCCCTTTGCAGCCGCTTCCATAATACCAAAAGCGCATTGCAACTTCTAAAGACAGAGGGGAACTTTGAGTAGCAGAGGACTTGCAATTAATGGGAATGAACAGAAAAAGAGGGCGATTTAGATCCCATGGGATCCTTCGGGCACAATATTGCTTTTGATGGAATTAAGAGTTGGCGAAAATATAAGGGAACAGTATTTTTTTTTTGACGTGTCGGATTGAGTTGTCCCACAACATAAAGTGCAGATCCTTATTTGAGGTTTTATTTTCAGATAGATTTGGCAATTTGTCACATGGAGCTAATAATATATATTATAGCCAGCGACTTGATTGCTTCTGGGGGTGAGTGCATTGCATTTTATACCCCTGTTTCGTGAACGTCACAAATGAAGACGACATCCTAATGCAATAAAGCAATTGACGGTCCCTCTACGAGAACGCATTTTATGTGACTTTTCACATACCTGAGCTCTTCATCCAAGGATAGATCCGGAAGTTCTCGGACTGGGGGTCTGCCTCTCTTTGCTCCGACTTGCTGCAACTCTGCTTGCAGGAGTCCCCAGCGCCACACATCAGTGAGGAGAGGTTATGATCGAATGAAGAACAGTGCATGTTAAAGGAGTTCGCGTTGAGGCCATAAGGAGACGTGTACATGGTCGGGGACTGGTGGTGTAGGCTGTTAGCTGTGCTGTACAAACCCGGTACAGTGGCTGCGTAAGAAGCCGACCCAGAGCCATAGCCCGACCGCTGGGAGTTTGAGGCAAAGGCGCAAGAAGTTGGTTCCGAAAAAACCCCCGATGGAAAAACAGAAGTTCCAGCTGTATATTTCGAAAATAAAGCATTCGCATAATACAATGAACTCATAATTTGGCTGGTGATTTGTAGGCCGGGACGTTTCAGTGTCGGTTTTACGAGGTACGGTGATATATTACGGAATTAGAGTCCAGATTTACACCAAAAGAACCCCCTTTTTCCTCCCGATGCACGTGATATTGGCACGTGATATGGCGGGCCAATGAGAATCGGGCTACCCGCGGCTTCTTTGGATGATAAAAAAATTCTCTAATCAAAAGAAAAATTCCTGCATCCAAGTCATAATATGTCTAACTTTAAATACAAGGTGAATAGGAGTTGATAGGCTTGGCCGATCGATTCTTTAGATGGAAATTTAAATAAATCAATTCGCTTTCTGTCGCTTGCATTCAGCTTCCAGTGGAAACACATTTGTCAAAACAGCTTTCTTTCGGTTTGGTTGCGCTCTAACATCGCGCACTGAGTCCCAATAATCGATATCTACCTTAATGTGGCTCACTGGCCGGAGGAGAGCCCGGGGACGTGTCTTTCCAAATCTACACCGTAATCGCAGCATTTACACAAACAAATTAAGCAGATATCTGCTCACTTTACTCGCCACAGCAACTCCAGGACGAACTTCAACTTGTTTTATTTAAAAGGGGGAGGGGGAGGTGGGGTGGGAGGGAGTAAGGAATTATGAGTGCAAATGAGTCAAGTGAGCTGCAAACATAAACAGGTCACTAATAAAAAAGTCACAAAGACAAATTGAGTCAGGTGCGATTGCAATGTCTTATTGATATTTAATGCTCAGTTTTCAACAATATTATCTATCCATCTGTCTGTTTGCAGACTGCACAATATATGCAATTTCTTTTTGCCAAATCTCCTCATTCAAATAAATTCTACTTAGAAAAAAAGCCGAGCAATTTCACAGTTCTGTTTTCGCTTGTAAAGTTTATTGTACCCTTTTCCGCCGCTTGCATGTTCAAACAATAGCCCAATCTCGACTATAACATTAATGCATGACCAGTCCTTCATTCCCACCACCCCCACCTCCCCTAAATAAAGCAATTCACGTATACAGTAGACTTTTCTCACAGTTAAAACTGAAAGACCAGTTTCTTCTTGTTTTGTTCTTTTTAAAAAAAACAGTCTTTACGTCTGCACATGCCAATTTGGAGAAAGCAATAATATAAATACAACAAAGACCGTAAACAATAACACAATCTAAAATCGCTAAAGCTTAAATAGGCAGCTTCATGTTGTCGGGATTTTCCTTAAAGCTAATGGTTATTAGCTGAAGTAGTGCACACGGCTTAAATATTCTACAGCAGTATTTCAAAAGACACAGACACACTAGAACATTGATCTATGAACTTCACATTAAATACTTTCACAAGAATTCACTTATTACAGCTAGAGTGCTACACAACCACATGTATATAGCTGGTAAAAAGTTGAAGTACTCATTTTAATCTGCACCTCCATCCATTTGCACACAATCTTGTGTATCAAACAGTAAACAGGAAAATTTGTTCTGCTTCTCGCACCCGCACTATTTAAAAACTGTCTACATTATTTTTTTTCCTTTCCCCCTCGGATTAACCTCTTGTGTTGTAAAGTATCAATATTATTTTATTGTTATTAATCTTTTTCTTCGTCTTCTTTCACGTCCTTCCCCTTTGGAGTTTCCTCAATTTCAGATTTACTGCTGGGAAACTTGTCTTTGTTATTTTCCTTCTTCCATTTCATTCGTCTGTTCTGGAACCAAATTTTGACCTGTCTCTCGGTCAGTCCCAGGGCGTGTGACACTTCGATCCGCCGTTTGCGAGTCAGATATGGATTGAACAAAAATTCTTTTTCAAGTTCTAGTGTCTGATAGCGACTGTATGTTTGTCTTCCCCTGCGCCGTCCTGCAGCTACTAGGAAACAGAGAGGGGGAAGAGACAGAGAGAGAGAGAGGAAGAGATACAGAGAGAGAGAGAGATAGGGGGGGAGCAAAAAAAAAGGCTCAATGAGGCTTTGTAGTTATATGGAGGGCTCCAAAACAAGATTCAAACACTGTTAAACAGTATTCAACACCGTAGGAAAAATACGCCATAAAACTGCAATAAAACTGCAAACAGCATGCAATATAGCACCCTTTAAAAAACCGCTCCAGGATCATTAAAGTATAAAGTAATTTACAAGTACTGAACTTTAGAATCATAAAACACTAAAGTTGCAACGTTTCTTTTATTGGCTCAGGAAATGAACCTTTCTGCGTTTTAAAATGTATGTGTGTATTATCCCTGTCCTTTCTGTCTGCCTCTTTCTTTTCTTGCTGGCCCATGTCAAAGCCTCACCTTGCGGTCTCATCCACGGAAACAGCTGTGTCGGGGATGAACTCTGGTCTGAAATCTCTGCTTCTTCTCCTAGGTTGGTAGCCGTCGACTTGCAGTCGGGATATTGGATCAGTTCGGCCTCTTGTTGGGCAGCGAAAATTGGCTGTCTTTGCAGGGCATCGTAGCCGTAGAAACTGCCGGCATCCCCGTGACACGTCACCGCACACGGATTTTGCTGGTAGGCGGAGGTGGAGAGGGTAGCTGCGCCGTGGTGGTAAAAATCCTGGATCTGGCCGGGATGTTGGAAGCTGCCCCCGGTGCCGGGTCCATAAACCACGGTGGGTCTGCCGCCTAGGTCCTGGGTGAAACCACAGTCATAATAATTGGGGCGCAGCGTCTCCCCACTTTTATACTTGGAAAACAACGAATTGACAAAGTAGGAGCTCATTGGGAAGGACTAAGATCTTTCTGCTCAACAAATGGAACTTAGTGTTTGGTAATCAGACAAGCAAACAAGCCAAGTTTTTTTTTAAAAATTAAACCTTCATCTTATTGATCTCAACAAATAGTGTCCTGGCATCACATCTTCGTGAAGAGGTTCACTCATAAACAGTTTTCTGTGATTTACTTCAGCCCAAATGAGTTGTTTCATATTTTGCCGTCTCTTTTCATGATAATTTGCATTTATTACCTCAACCACGTCCTATTGGCTTCGCTTACTCCGTACGGACACTGCACCGTGTGAAAAGGGAATGGTGCGAGAGAGAGGGAATGAGGGAAAGATAGAGAGGGGGGAATATGCGGATTAATATATTCAACCATGTTCATTACCGGGATATCAGCCGCTTTACAACAGATGAAATACATACGCCACCAAAAGATTGATAAGGGGAAGTATCCACGCTGTTGTGAAGTAAAGGATAGACATTCAGACGTTAATTTCCAAACCATTTAATGAGAATATGCGTCTCTTTTAAAGGTCAGAGTTACATCAACAAGACGTGGAAGTACTGTACCAATCCGAAAATCTAATTACTATCAACTGTGGATCTAATTGCTATTTTTCCTCCCAAGTTATTGCAGTGTAGCGACAACTCCAATGGCATACAAAAGCAAATTATTTGGATCTTTTTTTAAGTTTCATCTGAAAGAATTTTGAAATCTAGTAGTATTTAACAATTTAATGACCCGTTCTCCTATTATTAATAAAGCTTTTTAACTGGTACTTGGACGGAACCTAGAACAGTAACAGTCATCTGAGAACTATAGGAAAGAGATTAAGGAACTATAACGCGTAATAAAAGCACAGCCTGTTATTGTTTATAACATGCAGTGAACGGCAGTTAGGGTTTTTACGAGAGGCTCTGTGCGGAGCAGTAAAACATAGATTTTGCGAAGCTAGCGTCCCATTCCGCTTGCTACTTTAAATATCAACCGCTTTTACACAAAATAATGTTCCTGATGTAAAAATATTACGGACTATTTGCTATTGGACAATAATACACATATCTTATTCAACCTCATTTAAAGACTTTTACTTTCCAATCCAGATGCAAAGGGTTTCGAGTGAAAGCGAACGCCGTGCTTCCAAATAAAGGTGCAAGGTTCTGAGATAACTCAGAGTTCACTAAAGGCGCGCATGAACTTCCTTCGAAAAGATCTTCTCCATATCAGAAAATTCTATGCGGCTATTTCGTATATATGCACGGGTGTTAATAGTTGAAATAATTTGCAAACTGCATTCTATTATCGAGTATAAAGTTACGCGAAAATATTGCAATGTCTGTTCATATTTTGAAACTGACCATTTAGTTTTAAACCATTATCGAAACACCACAATAATGACTGATAGCGAATCTGCATTATTTTTGAGTTTCTTGGTTTATCTGTGACAATTGAAAGCAAGGTATTTCCTGAACTGATAAGGGAGCCGAATTTATCACGCCGAGCCAGTTTACTATCAAATGTATCTGATAGTTTGATTTTATGAAGTAGACAAAATAATTTACAATCGATCTGTCTCACCTTGGCAGATCTCCCGAAGCTTACTAAATCTAATCCCGCAATTCAATTCTCACAATTTTTGGGGGGATAGTACCCGGAATGTCCATTTATAACCACAAGATCCTTCCAAATCAAAAGAATTTCCACCTCCACAGTATAAAAGTTAATCAGAATAGAACTCGTTCAATGCAAAGTCTAAATAAGACCGTTGGGTGTTTATTATCAATGGAAGTCCATCCGAATACAATCACAGCTAACATAAGTAATATAAATCAGTATCTTAACTTTGCATATTTCTACACTGATAATGCATCTTTGAATTATCTGGTCCATTGTTAACCATTGTTAACCACCTAACCCATTGTTAATTTGTCAATCCCTAATGTGTTATTTTAAAAAAATACAAAAATATGATGTTCGAGTATAGCTTCTAAAAAGGCTGGGTTGCAGAAATACTGGGAATTCTTGGGTTACAGATTTCCACTCTTCTGTAATATTATGGGATACGTCAGCTGGCGAGAAAATGAACGCAGTGGCATTGTAAAAGTATCATCGACCCAAAGTTGGTGTGCAGCTGAGGTAATAAAGTAGCAAATCACACTGATAAGAAAATTTTATTAACTTCGTGCACGTGTAGCCTGTGAAATATTGTCAACTGATCAAATAACGCTGAATAAAATCATTGAGATAATAAAAGTCTGGAACGTGAAAAAACCTCATCAATTTGCCGAAACAAAAAAAAATCGATTTATGAAAGTTAATATTTTATTCTTTTCCTCTATTCGTGGCATTGGCCTTCTGAAAAAGCATTGTTCACAATAGGAATGAGTGGAACCAATTGTTTAATAATTAATCGAAAGGCTCCTCTTGAAAAGTTTGTCCCCTCTGTCCATAGGTGCCCCGGGTTACTTTAACTCAGGTGAAAATCTTTAAATGTTATTTTCTTTTTTCTCTCTGAAGTTTAAAGGACAACGTTCCGATTACACATTAACTTTTACTTTCGTTTCTAGTGGTGGTACTTGGTCATATAACCACTTAGATTCTGTTGAAATTTGGCACAACCGTGCCAGCGTTAAATATAACAGATCTGGAGTGCCATTTAAACCGATAAAAATGTTTAAACATCTAATATTACTGCAACATGCCCAAACCACATTCTTAATAAATCAGTTGGATTGTCATAGAAACATTTAAGACATGATCAGCTAGTTCCTACATTTTCTAATTGCTTCATCAACTGACAAGTCTGTGAGATTTTAAGGGGGAAAGAAATGATTTCTGCCGACAAAAGTAAACCAAGTCTACAACTTGCAGACTGTCCGGTCCGTGAGGACCCACGTGTTTGTTTTATTTGGTTCTAAGGCAGTGATACCTCTGCATTGCGCATTTAATATTGTTTTTATTCGTGTTTTAATGCGGTTAATCTCTTCATCAGCAACGTGATTCATTGTGTGGACGTAGTTCCATTTTGTTGGAAAGCATTCAAATACATTTCCTAAGTTTAACTATAAATGCGTTCACATATTCTGAGTATAATTCGAAAATCTCCATCTATAAATCTCCCTCGCTGCACATATATTTTGCATACATATATACACACACACTGACACACACACACTGCGTAATGTGATATTTCAAGTACCTATCATGAATGTAAAGACATTTAAAAAATATTCCAAAGGCAGTTGCAAATCTACAAAAGAAAATAAACGCCTCTTAGTTACCGTTTGTTTCCAGAAGGTTTTCCTTCCATTTCTCTTCTGCTTGCAATCGAAACAGATTCCTCACGTTTAAGTTTTCTACTCTTCCGATAAATATGGAACATCACAGCAAGATATAACATTACAAGTGTTATAATTGATCCTTTAGTTTCATTTTTCATTCATGCATAACCTATGACTGATACAGAAAATTAGTTGTACAAATATTATGGTTATGTCCATGTATCTGTGCGTCCAAATTATTATTCCTCAATAAGCATACACCTTTTGATACTTTAAGCTGACACATGCAATTGCACTACAGTTTAAGCTGAAATTTACAGAAAACCGTCATCTTCGTAATATCTACATGATGTAAAAGCACAGAGTGGAAATAAAAGATGTCCACACACGCAAGTTTCTCCATTAATTTGCGCATTAGTGCGCGGGATTCCAATTGTAAAATGATAATCTTGTTTATTTTGTACGTTTACCTAATCACGTGTCTTTAGTTCTTTGGAGAATCGAGTGAAAACTTTACAGAGTCAAAAAATAAATTATCACCAAAGAATTTGACTTTTCTCTACTTTGTGTTAAATTATTTTTAAGTGAAATTATAAGCAACTTGTTACTTAAAAAGTATTCATGCAGGAAAGCGAGATAAAGACAGAAATGAAACTAATGTGAACAGTGATGGAGACAGAACGAAAAGCCAATCATATTGAAGTAAAGCTTTGCCTTCATCTGGGTGAAATTCCAGGTTCTTTTATATATGAGGTTGCAGACTGTTCAGTTCCGTGAAATTCCTATTCCATGATACTGTTACATAAGTCGTTTTGTTTATAGGTGAAAAAAGACTACAGCTCGATTTAAATACGGAAAGAAACTGAAGAGGGTGGTAATTTAAATGGTACAGATAAAATAAAATCAATAAAACCTGAGAAAGAATAAATCAGCAAGGTCTGGAAACCAGTCAGGAAGAAATGTCCATACAGATGGCCATTATCCTGTAAATGTGTGGTGCACAGTTTGTTGAAAGGAAGACAGTCACGCAAACAATAATCAATATATGTACAGCAGCCCAGGATGGATTCAATCTTAAGACATGTGCACTGGGATGTGAGAAATATAACGGGTTTGAAAGTTCATTTGGAAGCTAAGTATCCAGAAATTTCAATGTACGCTTCTAACATTTTTCGACATAACTGATGTCCATAAATAAACCGTACAAAAAATTGTTTTCCCAATACATGTATCCTTTGAAAGTAGCCAACTGCGAATCAGACCCACAGCTTGTTAAGTATTTAGTTGTGTGAATGTATATTTAAAGTGTGAATGCCTGACATTTTACATATTGCCCAAGTGTAACAAACCTCGCGATTTTTCCGTAATTGAACCGTCTTCCTTTATTTATTGACTTTAGCCTCAAAGTGTGGACTATGCCGCGGTAAATGGACAGCCTTATTTGTTCTGTTATCTTCTCGGGTTTATAGCATAGTGTGAATATAATGCAACTGCATAAATTCTGGTCCAAATAAACAAATTGCAATTAAAATACATTTCAAATTAACATAAGTGATATTAGGCATGCAAATGTTGTGCAAAATAGTTGAATGGAGCTAAATGCAAAGGAGAACATTTTAAAATAAAGATTTAATTGTTAAACAATTTGATGGAGAAATCGGGGGAAACAGGAAAGCTGTATGTTTCTAATACGTACGTTGTAGCTATTGAATCTCGGGTTGGCAAAAGAGCTGCAGAATCTCCATGACTGAGTTTGGTGGAACAATGCTGCCACCTACTGGAAGTAAGGTGAATCTTTTGGGACTTATAAAAGAACGGTGAAAAAGCATGAGAAAATAAGCGCAATATATAACATTAGACTTTAAAGAAATCATTAGACCCAAACGGTGGCAAAGAAAGAAGGTATAATCTCTTCAATTTCACCGACAAAGACAATCGAGGCATTGCCAAAATACCACATCTTTGGTATAGTGCTGCAGTGGATTGCTAACAACCTGAATTCTTGAAGGGCAGTAAAGAAGGGGAAGAAGAATAAGAAAAAAGAGGAGGGAAAGAAAGCTTTCAAAACTCTATTGTCTCCGAGTCGGAGTCGAAACAATTGGGCATTCTGCTTTAGAATAAAGTCCCAGGCATGGGCGCGGAGTTGTAAACACATCCAAAGACCCTGCTCCAGACGTCTCGCCAGACTCTGTATAGGGTTTTATTGCAGCAATTTCTGGCAGCCTGAAATGGTTAGGAAGTAGAACAAAAGAGGGCGTCGCTTGCTTTAGAGTCTAAAATGCATGTTGGTTACACCACAATATTCACCAAGATTTTCCCTTAAAAAACTGTTACAATATGCAGCCCCTCAGAAGTAAAACGCAAAGCTATATTTTTATGGCTTGGCACCTCCAGTTGTGAGTTTAATTTAATAGGTTCTGAAAGTTTTCCCTTTGCTGTGTTTGTTTTACAGACATTCAATTCTTAACCTTCAGAAATTTATACCCTATAAACTTTTACAACGGTCATATTATTTTATTGCAGCACACCACACTGAATTTCCTATAATGACAGACAACTTCCTAACTCCTCCTCCAACGTGTTAGGCTCATATCTGCTTTCTCCTTGTATGTGTTTGTGTCTTGTGTGCTTGGCAAATAATGTTGAACTGGATATAACTTACATTATTATATTAGCTCTAATACACGACACGCTGATACTGTATTTATTTTGTTCCAACCCTATAAAAGAGATTGTACACGGCTGCATAACGGTTTCTGTGATATAGAGGTACAAAGACATCTAAACATAGACTATTTTTACTATGGCCTTAGACGTCCACGGCAGCCATTCTACTGAACCAATCTCGAGAACGCTTTCAAGTTGGCAAGCACCCTTTCTCCTTTCTAATTATCCCATGTTACGTTGTTAACTGGAAGATGGCGAAAAGAAGTAAAACCCCCTGAAATGCAATCCACCCTGAACATTCAATTAAATTGATGGAAATTTCTTTCGAGGATGGTGAAATGGGCATCTTCCCACCAGATTTCCACATTGGACTATTTTATGTCGGGGGTAGAGGTTTAGAATGTTTCGGTTAAGGCTATTTAATTAAAATGTCCCCATTACTTGTTTATGGGCAGATTCGTCGTGAAACATTTTCTAATTGATCAGAATATTTCATTTCGTTTTTGTTCTTTGTTATTTGTTATTCATCGATGTAATATATTGCAAATGTTTTGATAGATTTCTGCATTCATTCATTTTTTATCTTGCAATCCTCATCTATAATGTCGATATTTATACACCTATATCTGCAAATGTACAGAGAGATATATATGCATATATAGGTAGGTAGATATAATACATATGCAGTGAATAACAAGATTTTTTTTTAAAAATAATTTTACCTTTGCTTAATAAGCGGGAGAAACTTAAGCCTTCCAAAGAGAGTATGAGTGCTCACATTAGGTCTCAGAAGTTTCAAAATTCAACTCGAATATGTCAACGGAGGGAATATTCATTATCAAACGATTATAGTAGTGAACAATGCAAGTAAACCAGCAGAACATAGATAACAGATTACTTTTTCTTCTTAATGGGTTATGTAAATTATGTTAGAACATGTTATCTCCAGCTTGCGAAAATAAATGAAAATTTTCGTTTGAATTGTCTATGTAATTTATATTACTTCAAAGCTGCGAGGCAGAAGATTCATTGCGTGCAATAGAAATGAACTCACACGCGTTATGATATGTACTGGACAATAAAATATGCAAAGCAACTAGCAGATATATACGATGGGGCATTTTGATGATAATTTGCATTATCTATATTTAATAATTGGGCCAAAAGAACACGAAATTTCAGATATTTCAGATCCTGTGATGATAAACACATGGAAAGTAAGCGAGAAACTTACTGGATGTGGACTAATTCCCCTGGAATTCCCATGAAACTCGAGCTTTTGCATGTCATCTCCATCCCAACAACTTATGTAAGTGTCTCGTTCGGCGAGGTACTATGGTTACGATTCTTCATGAGACGGAAGTATTTTTATTTCACTTTATTTATGGAAGCACTTTGCGTAGTTTCATGCTTCCCCGCAGTTGCATGCACTCAGATCCTCTGCGCCTCTCTATTGACGACACGCCATTGTGTCTACTCTCGGAGAGGATTTTTCGGGAAAAAGGAATAAAATACCGATTTTTTTGTCCGTATGTCCAGCATAATCAGGGGCCTTATCCCCACAAATGGCCAAATGGTTTATCAGATAACTGATTTGGTTTTGTTGGGATTTTAGAAATTGAATTTATTTTCAGGGTTCTAACACGTCTTCTCGGTTTCTATAATTATTCGACGATCTTATTTAACAAATAGAGCTATTCTCCTTTGGTTTTATGAATCTGATTTTCAGGCTTCATTCATAGAAAGAGGTTCACATTCACAACCAAGAATAACGCAAGACTTTAAACAGTACATACAAGGTCGGGGAGCGAGGGGGGGATTGCGTTTCCAAACTTTCAGCAGCATTTTATTTTGCAGCTCTTTTTTAATACATTCGTATATTTACATCTAATGATCATGTTAGGTGTACAAGGAAGGGTCCGTTCAAAATATTTGATTCCATTCAGTGGGTTTAATTTACAATTAACGTTAATAAATCACATTAGAATAGTGCAACCGTGCGCTGCTGACGTCGGAGATCTCCAGAATGAAATAACTAAAACTGAGGGTCTGCAGGAATTTGGACTTTTCTTATGTAAGATGGTTAGTTCATTTACCTTAAATGTAAAATCGGAACAAATCTACAAAATCCACGAATATAAACACCAGTGCCACATTGGACAGAGATCCTAAGAAATATTTAATATGTTGTCACCAGGAGTGTTATTATTCCTAACATTTATTCTTTTGAGCTGATCCCTGTTGTTAACTTCCTTTTGTGCAATCTAGTTTGTAATTATAATTCGTCAAATTATTCCTACACAGTGTTTTATTTCTAAAATGTCGCCAAGTTCTATGCGGCAGATCATTTAAGTTTTCACTTCGACAGTTGGACGTGCTTACTGCAATATTTGAACATTTTCAAAAACGAGCCACGTGGTAGTAGTTACCCATAGTCGGACAAACACTCAGCAAAGGTGAAATCTACTAATTTAAACCCTCGGAGCATCAGACATTGAAACAAAACGCCAGATCGACACTCACTCAAACACACAGACTAAGGGATACAGAAATCGAGATGGAAAACTAGATTATCGCTTGATTTAAACAGTAGTCACAATTCCATTGAAACAAGCAAATGCTTAAATCAAAGAAATACAGGAGTTGTGGAAACAGCACTTAATTCAACCGCGATGTGATGTCTTCAAAATGGATTATAAACATTCGATTTTTGCATGTAAACTGTTGCAAACAAGTCATGTTAAGTCATTGCCGCCAGCAAAGTACAAAAAATTTAACCGCAGCTTTAAAAGGATCATTTTATGTAAAGCGTTGCTTTGGAGCGCGGTCCATCCCAGTCCCGCGCGAAAGGCCAACACCAAAGCATTGACAGAAATTGTAGCAATTTATAAATAACACGAAGTTCCTTTTTAAGCCATAAAGAGAGAAAAGGTGACAAGAATAAAAGCACTCTGCTCTCTCTGGCTGTTAGAGTGGATGAGAATGAGAGGAAGTTGTATTTCTTAATATCCTGCAATAAAATTCTTTACACGTGACAGTATTCCCTGAATGAATGCACTAAAATGTTCGAAATAAATAGCCGAATTGCTGGATGTTTAAACCTTACTTTCTGACCATTCTTTGCTGTGGAAGCATGTTGGTTTTCTCAGAACTACGGTGCTTTAAGGATAAGTTGCAGAGACAGCAAAAACCGGCTACGCGCTAAAGTTAAATTTCAACAGCTAGTCACTCGAACTCTTTTACATGCTCCTTACTGAGTCTTTTCATCTTCATTCTCCTGTTTTGAAACCAGATTTTGACTTGTCTTTCAGTCAGGTTAAGAAGACGCGCTACTTCGTGCCTCCGGTCCCTGGTGAGGTACATGTTGAACAGAAATTCCTTTTCCAACTCCAGGGTCTGATATTTGCTGTAAGGACATCTTTTCTTCCTTGTTGAGCGGGCATGTAACCAATTTGCAGCAGGATTGTCTGAAGATGAGTGAAGGGGAAAATAATCAGATGAGAATAAGAATTATATTAGAATCATAATTTCTAAACGATATTTCTAACATTTTACTGCTTGTGGGAGGCTTCTTCCACAGTTATATCGATCTAGCTAAGTATTAAGATAGTGCGTGTCTGCCTCTGTGTGTGTGTGTGTGTGTGTGTGTGTGTGTGTATGTATGTGTGTGTGTGTGTGTGTGTGTGTGTGTGTCTGGGTCTTATATTGCTCCTAAGCGTTTGTCCATTAGTATTGTGTATTACTGAACTGGAAACTGTTGGGCACTCTCGAATTGTGAAGACTTCATTTTGCTGTTTATTACCACGTTTGCAATTCAGAAGTAAACTCGAAGAGCCGACTGCGCTACATAAAATATTTCCTTTCTCCCTTCTCCGCAGCTTCACATAAAGATGGTGTGGCGCACATTTCATGGTTCTCAGGAGCTTATTTCGAACGGAAAATAACAACAGTGAATACTTTTTATTTATTCCTCCATTTATGCAATGCCTCGTAGAAGATAAACTGGCGAATCCGGCATTAAGGATTTGCAGGTGTTTACTTGTGTAACCCATAAAACAGAACGGAGGCGTATAAAATACAAGCGACATAAGACCAGTTAAATACTTGAGGCTAAACTGGGAGCAAACTACCTTTTAATTGGAACCTTACTACAATCGCGTGTTTTTGTTTTGTACAAGGTTTGGAAACTATTTTCATTGAGATAAATTAAGTAGATTTCTCGAAAAACTTACTTTGTTCTGATGTCTCTTTGTCTCCCTTCTCTTCACATATACTGTCTTCGTAGCACGGCGCTTTCCCGGAGCAAATGGTTTCGCTCTCCAAATATTCGCCATGTAATTTTTGAAGCGCAGCTGGTAGGGTTTCGCCGCCGTGTGTTGCGGGTACTTCTGCTTTCAATGAATCGTGACCGCTGGAAGGCATTCCGGGTCCGGACACAGCCCTGGGGGTCGGGTCCAACCAGGACCGCATGTACCTGCTATCAGCCTGAATGGGGTGCGACTGGACATAAGGATGGTGCAAAGTGGAAACATTGGCAGAAGGCTGGCCGTACACGGGGGCCCAAGACGCGCCGAACACCGGAGATTTCGCCTGAAAATTACAAGCAGGAAATTCGGGGTGCTCGGGGACTCGCGGCTGTCTGGAGACTAAGTATTGCCCCGAAGCAAACTTTGTTGCAGGCGATCCCTCGCTTTCATGACTTATAAGTGAATCGACAAAGTAGTTGCCAATAGCACCAGAGATCGACATTGTCAAACATCATACACTTCGATTCATTGAGAAATTATATGTAAGACTAGAAATTGTTCTCTCAACTTCTCCACTAACAAAGTAGAGTTAGCTAATATGTTGTGGGCTATCTGCGAAACGATTGGCTAAAGTTTTCATGAGGCCGACAAAGCGACAATAAAACGTAAATCAATCCGCAATGGGGGTTAAACAATTAGCATCATCCTCCTCCCCCCGTATTAAATACATATAGAAGTAAAAGGGAGATTGAACAATAAACAGTACCACAGATAAATACATACTGTGCAACTATTCCTCACAATACAAAACCTGGTTAACTTTAACGGACATTTTTTAAAGGAACTATTTTGTTTCCTAATCAATCTTACGTCGTGCGATAAATTCTCACACCAGGTCTCATCATCGCCAGTTTTCGTATTACTGTTATTATTTTAAATCCGTAACATAAGAAGTGTTAAATGCAATCAACGCAGCAGATTATTCTTGCGATATTTGTGCTTGATGGGTACGAGAAACTGGTGAGGTTGGTGGTTTGGAACGCTTAGATTGGAGTTAGCAATATTAGCCCGAGGTTCTGGTGCCATTGAATGAAATATGTGCGCGTGCTATGGGTGACAACTTTAGATCTTATAGAGAAGAGATTGCAGTGAAAATACACGGAAATGTGAGAAGACGATCCGTTACTTTCTTGTCAAATTTTAATTCAGTCGAAAGACCGCAATTGAGGAAGATTAGAACGAATTGGATTTAAAGTAGTTTCTGATTCTGGTTTCTGCATTTCCAGCCAACACAGTCTTTTTTGTTCCCATTGTGATGTTTTAAAGCTCACAGTTATACGAAAGCCACGGCTACGTATTATTCTGCATTTTTTATGCTGTGTGATTTCAAATTGCTCGCAATTCTACTTTGGAACAAAGGAAAAAGAAAAGCCAACCCTCAAACAATAATGAACTTTAGTGAACAAGTGAATAATTATTGTGTATTAAAATATACACGCATTGTTAGAGGTTAACTTTAAATGTAATCTACGTTTTCTCTTGTTAAGTTTTCCATCAGTTCCAGGAAGAAAAGAGCCAAGCAAGGTTTTGTATCATGAGCTAAGGGGAAATCGTGAATTAATGTTCTAAAACTAAGTACGACTAGTGAAATGCGAATATTCAGACAAAATTCGGTGGGTAATGAAAAATTTACACAGTTTGAAAATTATTCGGCTTTTAAATTGCAAATCACTTTAAAAGAAATGGAACTTATTAATATAAACTAATAATGCTTTACTTTGCAGTTAACGCATTCATTTAGAGGTCGATTAGAAACGTCGATTCTATTCGATTCCGCTGATGCAAAGAGTTGCATTTGAAGAGATTTGATAATTGATGAAGGACGAACAATGGCGAAGGCAATGAAGAAAATTACAAGTGGGGAGAATATTTATATAAATTTTTAAATTCTAATCTTGTCAATGGTTTAGTTTATAAAATTGACGAAACAAAATATATTGTTCAGATCAAGAAAAATTAATTAAAAATGAATAAACAAACATTTATTTAGACTCAGAAATAATTCGACGAATGTTTGAGTTGTAATTTTTGGACGGTTATGCTGGCAGGCAGGTGACTGTCGGCAGCGCTGCTCATTTACAACAGTGGCTTCCATTAAGATAGCATTGACGAGTATAGAGGTATAGAACAAACTATCGGCTGAGGTGAATATCTGAGTATTCGTTAATATCATTATTGGAGACCCACTATATCTTAAATACCAAATGAATTCTCCATGATAAAAAAAAAACACTTGCAAGAACCTGGATAAGGTTCAAATTACTGTAACAGTAATATTTTTGAGAATATTCAATTATTAGATAAGATCAGTGAAACGGTTCACCTATGTACTTATATTGGCTGTTAGCATCGTGATCATAAATATCTCACAAGATTCACAAAATTCTTTAGCATTTTGATTCTGTTTGCTCTTTCTGGCAATGCGTAGAAGTAAAAGTAACCCCCTTATCCACTCGCCTGCTGATAAAGTTTATTTTGCCGCCATGATGAATTCAAAAGTTTAGATGAAAACATTGGGGGAAATTAATTTAACCTTATTCTACATTCAAGGCTGCTCACTTTAAAACGTATTCTCAAGCTGGTAAGAGGCTGAGGGATACATCTCCATTTAACATCAATGAATATTGTCCAGTCTAAACAGTCAAATAGGACGATTGTTTCAACGGCAGGCATCCCTTTAAAAGGCCGGCGAGACTTGCAGATCGCATCTGAACATTGGCATCAAATGGATTTTTCAGTCATGAGTAAAACGGGATATGTTAGCGATTGTTGCTAATGGAGCCAAATATGCAAGTTTTGCTATATAATTATAGACTTCCAAAAATGCCACAAATGTATATTTTCTAAACAGCTTTATATGTGTGAACAATAAAAATAATGTGTTATTTTATGCGCGAAATAAGTTGACTTATCTATTTACTCAAAGTAAACACAGTTATTGGATTTTATATGTATCTTCTCAAGCTGAAACAGTCACTCTTTCAGTATGTTGCTGTCCAAATTTTAAAATATACTTCAGAGACACTCTCCTGTCTTTTAGTTCGGCACTTTTAATTGACCATCTGATACTAGCATTGCCGTTCTTCTTCCCAGCTGGAAGTTAAAGCAGGGATATGCTGTGTTTCCCCCTTTGCATCTGAAACTTATCTTAAATGCACAAATCCCAGTTTAAACAATTTGCTTAATAGCATAAAGGTTTCACTATCAATGAAAATATGCACTCTTTTTTCGCAACAAAGCAGTTTTCAGTATTTTTGAGTGAAATGGGAAATATGCTTTTAATTGTTGCATCAATACAGGAAAACAGATGCAAAACGTGACATCGACAAGGACAGGGAACTGCGTTTCAACAGTAATGTATAAAACGATCAACAATCATTTCTAATATTTCTAGGACCTTTGGTTTTATGAGAGTTTTAATAATATGTTTAAATGTTTTTTTAAAGTAGGAAATCGTTGGTCTTGCAAATTTCGAGTTTATGTAATATACTTTTAGAAGTTTAAAAAAAATACATTATCGATCCCTGCCAAGCAAAATTGGGCACAGTCTCCAAACACAGCAAGCAGAATTATGAAAAGGAAAAGATCCATCGTTCGGGGTCGCTGCAGGTCATTTGGCGGCAACACCACATTTAGATTTTAAAGGAGATGTTTAACTTAAGCCTAACGATTAAAGAAGCGAGCCATTTTGCTCTTGTCTCAGCACGCTGTGCAATCCAATCAAACTTCAGTCATTTCAACGCAGTTATAACTTTAACATTAGTAAGTTTGTTCGTTGCACTCTCACCTTTGGCTCAATTCATAATGCATTGGAAATACGCAGAGAGAGACAAGAAAACAAAGTATCTTCACAATAAATCGTGAAGACGGTGAATATATGGCAATCAGCTAAAGTTTATGATGGAACAATCCTCGGCACCTAATTGCTGTTAAAAGGGGTCCCTTTTTCCTCAGCCGAGATTATATTATACAACTCACTCGGTGGGTTAAATAAGGGCAGTATATGTATTCCTGCATGTATTTTAAACAGCAGCCGATACTTAATTCGTAGGTTCCAAACTGACAGCAAAAGCGAACGAATTGAAGATTATCAGCGGAAACTCGCTCAAGTTATACTTTGATATGTAAACGAACAAAATAACAAATCGATTAGGGCAAGACTGAAGCTTCTTCGTCTACAGGCAATAGTCTCACTGGAAGCTTGTCTAATGTCTTTCTGCAATTGGATACCTCCAGTTTAAAAGCCTATGAGTTATATTCAGATGTATCTTACTGGAGTATTATTGATCCAGACTATATTTTTAATATACAGCAATATTGTGATAGACTGAACAATCATTGTTAATGATAAAGTGATAACGACATTATCATTTATGGCTGGACATATTATGCTAAATTTAAAAAAAACAACACAACCACTTCACACTACAAGCCTTGATAACATAACATTGGAGGAATTAAGAGCGCTCTCAACTGTGAATGGAAGATACTTAGCGTCCCTCGATCATAATACAAATGTATAAAAACTGTTACACGAAATTAATATGATACAGAAATAAATCGTCTTGTATATCGACAGATCTTCAGCTTTCTAAGGACGCATTATCCATTTGTCTGTCTTACAAGAAAACCTGTAATAACGTCTTTTATGGATAGAGACGGTGCAGATATTACTGGAAGACTGAAACCTGGGAACACACCTTACACAACTACAAGTTCATTCCTCTGTTCTGTTGATTTAGATATCTATTAATTTATTCAACGTATAATCGACTAATCTATCTGTCTACGTAGTTCCTTCTGACGAATAGAAATTCGGATCAAACTAATGATGCTTGCAATGACAAGGTAATTCCAAAATTGTGCATTTATCAGTAGAAAAATGCACACAATTTGCATTATTTAAAACTTTACCATGCCATTCATACACAAATACTACTATTTTGGAATATAGCCATGTATCGGATAGATAGCCAATAGGATAGATAAATATTTCGTGTAATCTGCAATAACAGTTCGCACTACATATCATTGTTTATAGCTTCGCAACGTATAGTGTTTTGTCACAGGAACCATTCATTCGGGTATCAGAACAGCAGAGATTCCTCTTTTTAACTAAATTCCAAAAGTTTGCGATGACAATAACTGGAGTAATTCAGGCAGTTTCTTGTCACTGCGATCAAACAGAAGCCCAACAACATGAAACTACCTAAGTCACACAGCAGTTCCATCTCACATGCGCCATAAACTGGACCTAACGAGTGAAGTTCAATTCGAATACTAAAATAAAGATTGACATTGTGAGATATGTTTTTACTAAGCATTATTCTTTAAAATATAATTACATTAATAAAATTATCTCATGTTTCTAAGAAAGGAAACGAAGGCGGGATATTTACAAATCTTAGTTACTAGCGGCTCTAAACTACATCTATCTTTCTTTAATCAATCCAAATGGACACATTGTACCATTTCGGGCTCGCTGGACATACGAATACACATATAAGAAACCGAAGCGATCAGTCTCACTATACTGCATCAATATCATGGTAAAACACCAACGTTTGCACTTTTTAACATAATCAACAGACCATTGTTAACAAGAAACTTCAGGAAATTCAAACATTTAATTTTCCACCAAGTCAATTTGATTATAAGCAGCCTTACAGGGGATCTGGAAAAATACGCCAGTGAAACATGACAACAAGGCCCTACCATTTTCAGCATGTTTTCCAAAGTCTTGAAAACAAATGTGGATAACAGTTAGCGAGTTGCCGCTTGCAGTTTGCCAAGGAAAGGAAAGTGTGACCATTTTCCTGATCTCAAATCTGTGCTGTGTGGCATGCCGCTAGGAGACAATCTGCCTAAGTCCAACAAGTGCTACGTGACAGCAAATTGCCAAACATATTTACAAGCCATAAAACTTCACAAAAGCGGACGTGGTCGTCCATGGAACATTATCAGTGCCCACAGTCAGTTACAACCGTCTCGATGGTATTTAAATCACGAACACCGGATACCAAATAAATTTCAGACTGCGGGGTTTTCTTTAGGGATGGAAGCATCGGAATTCCCTGCCTTTTTTCTCGACCATCAACTTGTCCATTTCAGGTCAATTTCACGGGTTCACAATCAACCAACCAATGTCCGTGATATATATGAGCCAGGCTTGATGAAAGAGCTACTAGCCAGCAAATAGTCATAACAAACCTTAACAGACTTTTAGACGTTGAAGAAAAGTATTAACATCTATAGAAATGCTCCAAACACATTTTTTGTCATTTTTAAATCTGAATTTTAATATTGATAAGGTTTAGGAAATAATGCAACCAATTTAAGACGTGAAATATACAGAACGTGCTACTCAAAAAAAATCCACCCTTCTTTTACACCATGAAAGTGAAATATATCATTTAAACAGTTATTTGTGGACTTATATATGGTCCCCAAATATTAACATATCCTGTTATTTTCCTCATAAAAGGAAGTGCGGAGCTCAGTGTGCACAGCAGTAGACAAGAGGTGATGAATACGACGTTAATAGGCTTTGGTAAAGCTAGTTTCTTTACATTTTTTAAAAAAATAAATATTACATGTTATATGACATTACACATTTATTATCTGAAATCTCTATCTAAAACCACATATGTCAAACCAATTGAGAGGACAGATCACTGTACATTGTCATACATTTGGTGGATTTTAAGATACATCTTATTCTTAAGCATAATCACATTTTAATTGTAGTGTATAATGCCCATTAAGAGTGTAGGTCACTGCAACAAGTATAATGGATATTTGGTGTATGTTGCGAAGTTCGTTTGAACTGATTGCTGTATATTCACATCATTTATGCTGGAGAAGTTCAAATAAACAACTGCTGATCTACTCCAGAACACTAACTGACCAAGAACTCGTCTGCGTTTATATATATTTCAGTCTGCAATTGTACGTAAGTTGTCATTTTTATTGTCAGTTCTTATCAATTTATTAGTTTCTCACATTCCATTCACATTTCGCTAGGAAGCTTCACATCACATCCCTAATGCGGAACAGTGAGAAATGAAACAACAAAATGAAATTTGTATCTTATTAAGTAAGTAGGTGCCCAATTCCCAACTACTGTCCTTATCCCCGCCCAGCTGTCTTTTAGTCCAATGCTTTTGGTCCAAGAAGCTTTGAGGTAATATATGTGTAAGTAGAAGAATATGGATCAGTAGCAGTTCTCGATGAAAAATGAAAGTAATAGCTAGCGGGAATCCATGTTAAAATGTTGTCCTTCTAAAAGGAACGAGCCAGGTGTCCAGGCTGGTCAACTAACAGTTTGGCCATTCCATGTTAATCAAAGGGAGTCTAAAGTTACATTAACATTTCTGTTCCCATACCAATTGGCATTAACATAATTAAAGCTGAGTTGAATACTAATATTTGCTCTTTAACTTTAAAGTTTATGTTATTCAATGTGTGTCCAGTTATTGCTTTACATCTTCAGCAACTCTGCATTTAATACGAACCTTCAGATATTAGTTGTTATTTTAAGCCGAGTCAGCAGTAGAATAATTTTATTCAACTGCAAAATAATCAACGCACGCTCCAAACAATTTATTGCTTCTAAGTTTTAGGAAGTTGTAATGTAAAAGACGCTGACCTAATTCAAGCGTTAGTATTACAACCTCCATAAAATACACATGCAATTTTTCATAGCTTGCACATTTCAATTTATACCTATTCAGCAGTACTTTGAGATTGTGGAGTGATAAGAAAAAAACATGGTTTCATTTGGAATTTTTAGAAATATTTAAAATTAATTTTATGTTTGACATTATGTTGGGGAAACAGCCCACTGAAAGCATATGACGTCAGCGAAAGAATTGCATATTGTTTGATGTTTTTCTTGCAATGCTCAGCAATAACCGACCTAAATAATTCTGTACTAAAAGGCAAGAAGTATACATGACAGGATGACCAACTATGAGAGTGCATATTTACCATTATGTTCTCTCACAAACTGAGGAAACGGCATCATTTTAAGACAAAATATAATGGCATTTATCCAAATGTAAATAGTAATTCAAAATTTATCCTATGGTTGACCAAGTATTTCCCATAATTATCCACTCTAATTGATTCAATATGTCTGCGTAGTTTGCTATAATCTAACACTCTTGAGCATGAAGTACGCTTGCACAGATGGCGTACTATGATAAGTATCGATTTCACTGCTGTCTCCATAATAAGAGGAAGCGACAGACGTAAAAGTATTTGTGAGCACAACATATATGCGTGGTACTAACTGTACGTCTGTTGAATCCAAGAAAAAGGACAAGATGGATAAAACAAGTTGGATTTTATTGCCCTTGTGGAACATTATTTGAGTTCCGTTGCTCACGATTAAGCGATAGGACGCTAAGTTATGTGATGGCTGTTAATGAGCTTTTGGACAGCAAAATTAATCTTCAGTCTGTGTTCATTTCGAAAAGCAAATCAGTACCTTTTGTTATGTTTAGTCATTTTTGAACTTGCAAGTCCTTCATTCGGCCATATCCCTTCTGCTTTGCTAGCTCAATGTTGTTGTAGTGACTAGACTTCTGAACTTGCAACCTCTCACCCCCCTCCCAAACCCCGCCCCCTATCAATGCTGTTGTCGCGCTCGAACCGTTTTAACGAGACATTTTATATCATCCGCCATCTCGTATATTTTGATCTTAAAACATCTCTTTCGTCAAATGGGGAAAGTAGCCGATATTTCTCGAATTCTGTGCTCCCTGCTCATCTTTTTTAGTTTCATTCTTCGGTTTTGAAACCAAATTTTGACTTGTCTGTCGGTTAGATTCACACTCCGGCTAATCTCCAGGCGGCGCTCTCGAGTTAAGTACATGTTGAAGAGGAATTCCTTTTCAAGCTCCAGTGTCTGTTGCTTGGTGTATGGGCAGCGTTTCTTCCTTCCGCCCTTTGCCGACAGCCAGTTTATCGTATTCTCAGTCTTTGTACTCTCTGTCAATCGGGAAAAACACACTGTCAAACAACCTATAAAGTAAAATAGATTCCGTTTTCCTTCCTTTCTCTCACCGTCAACGAGACAATGACTCAGGGATTGCAATCAGGTATCCCGATTGAGACTGGGAAGGGTAGGATTTTCGGCGCATAGTCAACTATGGGAATATGAACACTCCATATTTTATCCTGATTCGTGATAGCATATGGTATAGAAGGTTGTTTCACGACGGAGCATTACCTGTTTTAATTCAACTTTAACGGCCTATGTATCAGTTTCGACAACTATACTTAAAGGGGTATCGTGTACCTGGACAAATAACAGCAGGAAAGTCTATTAGGTTCAATATTGCACATTTTCTCGAATGCACGTTACACTAAAACTTGATTCCTAACAATACAAAAAGACACGATTGTGCCGAAAGCTCTATTTAAAAAACGGTACTATGTTTAAAACACAGCTAATTTAGTTTAACTTTGACAGACAACCCCAACTAAAACTCTAATTATTAATAGTAATTTTATGTTAAAAATGTGCGTAACTGGTTTAAGATAAACATAGTTATTTCCTACAATATTCAGGAAACTGCATGTAAACACTTGTTAACCTTCCAGCGGCAATGTTTTATGCAACGACCTTGCTGAGAACTGTTTTAGAACAAAGTTGTTACATGCCACATAGCCTTTAACCCCTGCATAAATTCTGGACTTTTTCTCCAAGGTTATGGTTTATGCAATGGAGGGAAAATAATCGTGAACAGAGGACAATAAAATAGAACCATGGACGCAACTGTTTTAAACAGGAAGTCATTAGGCATTTTATAAGGCTTCTCCAAACTTCTCAAATTTTATTTTTTCCTGACACTCCAGCATTCCTTTTGCTGATGTGTATGCAAGCAGTTGACACATTTTAATGTAATTCATCGTTTTATTGCGAGTGTAAGGATGCAACGCTCTATGCCGATCTGTTTCGACGTAAGATTTTAGAATTTTTGTAGTTTTTTTTCTTTAAAAAGTAACGTTATCTCTGAGGTAAACATCTTTATAGTATCAGTCAAGTTTGGTTGCTTTCACCAATACTAAAATGTTATGCACCAGAATGCAGCATTGACAAAAAGATCAATGTATTCAATTTGTAGGCACAGTCCATTGTCGCTCAACATCTTAGTCTGTAGTGGTAAAATATTGGTGCTTGAATTTCTCGGGCACTAAAATAAGTCTTTTCGTGAAATCCAACAGTTACAATAAAGCTGTAGTATCTTCCTGTTTAGTGGACCGAATGGCCTCCATCTGTGCTCTAAGTTTTGCTTATCTCCAAAGTGACTGAATTGCAAATGCAATTAACCGCTAACCATTTAAGATAAGACAGCATTGATGTAATTCCATTAATGCAACTTACACCCTTATACAATTCTTCATTTTAATGATAAAGTTTAAAATCATGGAATAGAAAGCAATTTTACAAATTCAGCCGCCGTAAGCATATAAGCGTACAGTAGTAACAACACTAAAAGGAAGCGCTCGGTTAAGAGTTAAAATATTCGGCGTGTGTGATGCACAGGACAGTTTCTTGCTGACCAAGTTTCAACCAGCTAAGGGGAAACACGTGAAAGACTATCTGAATATCAGTGCTCGACGAGTCTATAAATGAAATAACATCAGAAAATGCTGTAAATAACTCCGCAGTTCTGGCGGCATCTGTGGAGAAGGGTACAGAGTTAACGTTTTCAGGTCGTGACATTCTAATAGAATGAACTGAAACGTTAACTGTTTCTCTCTCTCTACAGATGCTGTCAGACCTGCCGTGCATTTCCGCCATTTTCTATCTTTCTCGTGGATTTTCCATATTGGAAATATTTCGCTTTTGGTCTCTGTAGAACTTCGGGCGTAATTGCGCCGAATCTATTTGCCAACAGATAAAAATCCCAATATTGAGCCGCAAATTAGAGCGTTTCCGTGTCTGTTTTGGTCATCCAGTAGTAAAGCATCTATGTGAAATTATTATGGAGTTCAAATACTTAGTGAAAACTGGAATTTTACTGTAACATTCCCCTTCCAACAGCCTACCGAATGCATCAAAAGATCCAAAACATAACCAACTATATAGTAAGGAGTCTGAAATCACTCTAGACTTCTCCAATAATTTTGTTCGAGATGTTGCATTGTCAATTTGTGTTTCTTATTGTATGGGTGAAAATTGTAAACTGTATACATTTTCAATTCAAATGTTATGTTTTATTTGGGTGGGTCCCTAGATCAGCATGGAATGATGCGGTGAGTCGTTGGATCCTAACGTATCTAAATTATAGACAATTACTCAACAAGTTTCAGGTGACCCTAACAGCGATAGCTTGTACAGAAGCTCAATCCTACATTACCCGAGGTTCAGTTTAATTCATAAAATTGAAATTTACACTACATTTTCAGGCATGGTGCTAATATTTTCTGACTAAAGCAATTAATGCCTATTTGAAAAGTCTTATTTTACAACTAACGAATGAACCCTATCATAGTGTTTATGTTGTAATTGTTCTTATTATTTCATAACAATAAAATATATTGTATGCAGAAACGGTGTGGAAATAACTGATACCTAGGAATCACAATTAGGGAGGTTGTGTAACTTGTACTTTGTTAGCTACAAATTCAATTTTAAAAGTAGTCAAAATCCCAATCCAGTTTTAGGCCTCCATCTTTATTAGCTACTTTGTCACGTTATTAGGTTCTTTGTGTGAAGCTGATGTTATTTCAATGCAACAAAGATGGCGGAAGCATTGTTGTCGTAATATGTAGTTTTTATCCGAAAGTTTTTCTCATCAATTGAAAAGGACATTCTATGGTAGTCAAATAACCTCCTGAAACTGGAGAATCAACTGATCTGTAATGGAGAACAGACTACATATAGAAAATCAGAACTGCCAGCTACATAGAACTAAATGAAATTTAAAATCGAACTGGATTGAATTTTTCTCACAGGTCGGATAATCTATCCATTGTTCAGAATAAATCAGCAGGGATTTCACAGCTACGATGAAATTTTATTAATTTAAAAAAGTCTCCAACCAAATAATTTAGTCTGAGAGTAATCAATAATTGCTATCATTGCTCCTATTTACAGTTCACATTTAAAAGATGTGTCAAGAATGGAATTAATAGTGCATTTTCGTAGTAGTAAGGTTATGCAACTTCTGAGGTGCTCCCTGGAAATTCAGAGGGACAATGGACAAACTATTCCTCCTTACAATACTTCGCCTCAAATTCAAAGTTTATCGTGTGCTTAACATGTTCCACATTTACATAACAATACGTAATTTGTGTATCTCATTGTTACTTGATGCTAACTGCAATGCTCTTGTTTATGTCATTTGATTGTCTGGTAAACACCCAATAAAATCAGTGCTAGGTAGAGAGAGTCCTCTTCACTTCAGCACATTTACGTTTAGACCTCAAAGACACACAAGCCGGTACAAATTAGGAAACAGCCATTGGAGCTGTTTGGGGTTGCAGTCATTTTACAAAGGAGTTTGCCGACTTTCAGGCAATTGAAGGGGTTATGCTTTGCAATGTTTCATTATTTTATGTGCGTGAGAGTAGGTGAAGGAAATCCGTTATGGCGGATCCAAGTTAATTATAACTTCCTTCGTGTTACTGCATCCTGGTGTTTACCCATTTCTTTCGCCTTGTGTAGCGGCTCAGGATTTTGTTTGGTATTGGGCGGGTGTGGGGGTGGGGGAGCGCAGCTAAAAGAACATGTTTTACGGGAAAGTACAGGAGGAGCATGGCTCATTGATTACTCACCCATTAGACGATAGTCAATCTCTGAAAGAATCGGCGATAAGTGTTATGATATTCGTCGCATTTCGCATACATTGTGATAGAATCAGCTCACAGCCAGAGTGCTAATGGAATATTAGGTACCTACTAGGAAATAGCATTCGGAGTGTTTCGGTTACAAATTAGCATGTCGGTTCAATTTGTTTGCCCCCGTGGTTCTTTTATTCCTAACTTACTGACGGCGAGTTCTCATATAATACCGCAATACCTCTGCAGCGCCGGGTGATGTAATTTTTCTTAGGCGCCATAATCCAGCTCCATGGCAACACATGAATCTTAAATAGGTGTCACATGTTGCCTCCAAGCTCATTTTAGCTTTATTCAGTATTTGGAATTCATAATTTAATCTTGCAATTGTTTAGATGAATGAACCAATCGTTGGATGACTGGGATGCTTAGCACGTTCACTACCAGACTTAACACCCACAATTACTTACTTAAAATATCGTTGACCACCAATGCAGATGTTTGCATCAAAACTCCAAAATCTAGCACTACCTATGATTTCATTCGAAATAATATTCATCACTGTAGGTGTTTTGAAATGATTGCATGAATATTTACTAGCGATTCCTGCAAAGCTACCCACAGTTACAACACTTACCTGTATGTGTAAAATAGACACGCCAACATACGATTATTATTTAACAGATCCGTTCAATCCGGTTGTCTCTGAGTATATTGTCAGCATACATGGGCAATCTATAGGTAAACTCATATGATGATATTTTAACTCTGTGATATGTTTGTAATTCTGTGTACATTTGTGTGAATTATATTCCAGATTTTATAGTCATGAAATTATTTAGATATATTAACATACATGATTGCATGATTTTTTTTCTTACTAACGTAACTGTTTTCTGTTAATGTCACGTGTGCTTCATATCGTTGCAATTTTATGTTTTCTCCTTAAGCATGTCTTCCGTTTGACAATTTTTTTTGTCTTGGCTAGTTATATTTATTTTACATCGGTTTGTCCCGCAACTAAAGAGAGGCCTTCGGAGCAGTTTTGATTTTTAAAAGTGTCTTTTAAACATGTTTGCAATTTACTCTGTCATATGGGGTCTGTCCTATAAATTACTGGAGGCATTAATTTGAGGGATCTTTATGCTGGAGACAAAAGCCTCCTTTATAACCTAATTAATGTCACCTTGCCGCAGATGAGAGAGCTCCTAGGTTCTTGCTCCAATTGCCATGTCATTGTCTTCCCCTTCGTTCAGGAACTTACCCACCTTTAACATCCTTCTCGGGAAGGTTTTTATCCGCGCCAGGAAACTGTAAAGTGGATGTTTCTTGTGCAAGCGTACTTTCTCTTCCTCCTGTGTTCTTTCCTGGAAGTCTGCGGCCCGGCTCTTCTGAGGTGCTCACTTTTAGTTCTTTTTCACCTGGTTTTGAAGAAGACGACGTGGCGAGGGAAGAAGTGAAGGGAATGCTGGAGTGAATCGAGCACGGAGCAGTGACTGGCTGCGGTTGGCTGTGATCCGTCGGTTGGTTCGATGAATAGTTCGGTTCTGAACGGAAATAACTGGGCATGGGGACTCTGCCACTGTCATTTGTGCAGAGTTCAGAAATCACCCTCGGGTAGACTGAAACCTCGGAGTGCGTCTTCGTATATTTATTCCCGCCTAATAAGCAATAGTTCGCTTCTTCCTTCACGCTGGACGTAAAGGAGTAAGTGCTTATCTGTTGAAATCGGCCTGTGTGGTTGGAGGGTGACGGGTTTGCCCATCCGGCCATGCCTGGCATGCCTGGCACGTACTGATGTGGAACCAAACCTATACCTTGCTGGTTGTTCATCTCCCCTTGTTTACGTTGTGCTAAGCCAACTTGCCAATTCTGTACCCCGTAGCCCTGGTCCGCTCTGGAGGACAAATAAGCCCCAGGACAGTAAGATTCAGCCCGTCTGGAGCAAATTAAAGACTTCACTGAAAACGAGCTGGAAGTAGAATTCTCCGAACATGACATAGCTGCAGCTTAATTTGCTGAGCAGGGGGAAGGGGAAAAAAAAGGTCTTTATCAAACTGACATTTCACTTGCACTCTTCAGAAGCCGGCTGTGGACTACTTCCTCCCAGCCGGCCAATCAAACTCGCGGCTGGCTCAATGGACACCGCCTACTTCATGGGGGTTTTGAAATGAGAAGGACAGTGATGCATTTGTGGGACTCAGCAACACCTAGTTATAGTGACAAATACAAGCTTGTTAATTTAGCTTTTATCAGCCAAATTGGAGGGAACTCCCTCCCGCTCCACACATATACGCTAACCAGCTCAACTTGTTGCTGTTTTCTTGTGACAACATGGAACAGAACAAGATTTTCATTTGTAATTTTGTTTTTTCAGACGGGATGGCGACAGCAGGAACGCTAGAGGAGCTCTGAGTCTTTTTCATGTTCAGTTTTGTGGTAATCAATGACTGAGATAGTGATTCAATATAACTAAGGCGAAGACTGAAAGTGTCACTATGAATTTACTTTTAGCTTTTAAGAGGTAAAAAATGGTGGTATCTTCAGAAATATCCACATATATAATTAATATATAAATATAGAGATTGAATATGCTAATTATGGTTTCCATAGTTCAGTGCAATTAGTGTCTTCCAATCGGATAGGGCTTAGAGCCAGGAGTGAATTTTCAGGCAGTTGAATATATATTTTGCGTGAACATGAACATGGCTTTGAAAATTTATGCTTGTTTCATTTGCTAACGGAGGCATTTTCATTCTAACGATAGTTCCGGGGTGGGAGGTCGAAAGGGTCCGTAGGGATATCATTTGAAGCAATGCTGTATGGAACTATACTGCTCAAATGACTTGAAACAAAGCAAACATATTTAGCCTTTAGTCTACCTTTTCTCTCTTGTCCTGCTTTGAATTAACAATGGACAATGGAATCAGGGTTCAAAAATTACTGTATTTTCTCCCCATAGATCTGTTGAGGTTTTCCAGCAATTTCTGTTTATGTTTCTGATTTTCAGCATCCGCAGTTCTTTTGGGGGTTTTAAAACCATAATATCCCTTCACCCCGAAACATATTTTAATCTGTTCAATTGGCTACTAAAAACAGGAGCTGGATTTAATCTACTTATTTTGTTTATAGTTTAGCGAACCTCTTGTTACCTTGTATTTTCAAAAGTAGGAATTGACCGCCTTTTATCATAGCCCTTCCACTTTATTGCGCAATAACTTGTTTATTCCGATGTTTTTTTAATCAAACCTCTTACGCATTACATTGACCATTTGAACGTCAAAACGAGTACTTGGATTTTTTTTAAATACTTAATCTTGATCTATCTTTTGTACGAAAATTTGCTTCAGAATGTTAGAGAATTGAGCACAAGTAAATAATCAGACAAGGGAATGAGCTTTTTTTTTCCCTAATGGAAGAGCGGATATTATGATGCAAAGCAAGCATAGACATATCTGCTTCAAAACAAGGAATCTCAAGCTTGTTGTACATTTATGCATAGATGTGCACTAAGAGGCCAATCGTTTCGCCATTTATCTATAGCCATTAAATCTGACTTTATGTACCCCTGAGGTTTTTCAGCTGGGATCAAATCTCCTGTAAAAACACGTATTTGCAATAGCAGTTGAGTTAAACTAGTGTTGTTTTTTAAGAAAAGCAGAGCTATGTAAGTTGGCTTTTTCCCGAGAGTAAAATACTTTTTCTCTGTCAAATTCACGCAGAGACGCCAACGCCGTGAAAAAAAAACTTTACTAACAAATCATAAAGTTTTAACTTTGAAATACTAGCCCCTGCGGAGTTTCGCGGTCTCAACTGTACATATTTAAGAACAAAAAATGTTTAACTCTGACGATGACAGATAGGAACATTTTTATTGACAACTACCTAAACGATAGATTTGATGGCGTTGTCCTTTTCAACCTCAATTAAGTCTCCTTTGGTGAGTAACGTTAATTTAGTCCACAGTCCACGCACGTTTTAATCCTCTGAAAGCTGAGCCAACGAATCAGCAATGTGAATTGGAAATCCAATCTAATATGCTCTGCTTTTATTGAACTCGGCTAGAAGTAGGATTTGCCGCTTTCGCACGGCTTGCCGCCCCCACACACCCCGAGAAATATATCAACTAAAGTGAAATGAAAGCGGTTTTGTGTGGATAACTGAGCTTCACTACAATTCATAAACGAGTAATATTTCAGAGCAGCAACAGGAGACTGTAGCATGTTATTGCCACGTGGACGTGACACGTGTGGAGACGATTTTCCACCGTGAACTGCAGCAATAACTCTCCAGAAATGACTGAGCCGCTGGTGTAAGAGAATAAGCAGAAGGATTACCCCGGCTCTTGTTTATAACAATACCCTGGAAAACAGTACTCTGTGCAGCCGCGTGGAACAAAGCGCGGTTCATTGTCTGTGAGAGATGGACAAGATTAAAGGACTGAGAATGGATTTATACATACGAACGCATTAAGACTACGATCAACGTAATATCTGAATAAAGCTCATGAAACCGAAACCTTGACCACCAACTCCCAGCAAAGCGCTTCGATAGCTACTATCGGCGTCCTAAATTACCAAAGTACCGAAATCATAAATGCGGGATTCAAAACGATATACGACAATGGCACACAGCACAGAAAGCTCTGAGCAGGGGTACAACCCATGCTGCTTGTAGCTGCAGTCAGAAAGTTCATTAACATGCTATTCGTTGTATAAACACACCGGCACAGCCCTGCATCATTGTTTTGTTATACAGCGTAATGCGGCCAAATTTGGTGATCTAGCTTGAATGGAAATAGCACATGCGCTGGCACTATCGACAAGTGGGTTTGTTTGTAATTAAAATTGCTGTTCTCATTTTTGTTCAGGATGTGCTGCTACAGATCCCTTTTGGTAAAAATTTGCACACAATGGATTTGAGCTTTCTTTTATTTATGCACAGTCTTACTCAACAGTGAGATAAGTAATATGATTATAACGATGATCTGTGAGTAATTAGGCGTCCATACGTCTATCCTAATATGTCAGTATATTTAATTTAGAAAATCCATCTTTTATTCGTGAATTTGAGTTCCCTTCATCCACGTTGGCCTGAACAAAACAGCACATCTTTCCAATATAGCTCTAAGCGCCCGTGAGAAGGCAAGATATATAGCGCAACGCAAACAAAAAAACAACACGCTTATTTTAAATCATAATATTCGTATTATGCCTCCTTCTATAAATTTTTTGGGGATTTTAAGCTTTTAAATAACGAACGTCAGAAGAAGTGTTGAACGGACTCGTGTTTGTGTGAATTGTGACTCGTGTGCTTCTTTATCTCAAATTAAGATTGAGATTTATAATGGATGCCATGCTTCTTTACGAAATTTAAAACTCCAGATATAAGGAGGTAATGATAAAAATTATTACGCCGATTAAAACCAAAGAGACAGGATTGAGTGCGGCATAGCATCTGATGCTGGTGCCTGTTTGGTGAAAGTAGGCCATGGATAATTTTAAGGCATTTTAAGTCAGGTTTATTCAACTAAGTTGACAGTATCTGCAGCAGGAATCCTTTACAGTAATTGTTAGTGGGTGAATTACAATCTCAATGCTGAATTTAAGGGAAGCAATCATTCTGAATGGGTCACATTATTTTTCGAGATTCCGTTTGGGGTTCAGTGCTAGCCAATTAATAGACCATCACTGGGATGGGGGGAGGGGGCAGGAGGTGGGTAGACGTTAGGACACACTGCAAAATGGCGACAGAAGTCTGATTGCCTTGGAGAAAATCATGTAACAACTGATCTCTGTAAACTCTACAAACATTAATTCCTGGTCTGTGATACATGAACAATATATTGGGATTCAACAACAAATAATCAGTTTGAACAGAAAATGAAAGTTCTTTCTGAATTATTCTTGCAGGTTGTATAGTTTCGCATAGTTAGCACGTTTGTCCTTCAAATTCTAAATATCTTAACAATTGAATCTAACCGCTTAAACTTCCAGGCCTCGCCACTCAATCCATTCTAGCGGTAATGGTCTTACTCTCTCTTTCTCGATCCTCTATTTCTCCCCCCGCCCCCGCCCCCGCCCCTTACTCAGTCGCTTGTTCAAATGGACATGAAATGGTTTAAATTACTGAGCCGTTGCACAATATTTTATGCATTTACCAGATATACTTGTGAAATGGTAACGTAATTGAATATACAATTGCAATGCAGTACATTATCGAGTTTTCTTCTCACGGACAAAGCTCCAAAATCGCCGTACTGATAGTTTCTAATACGTAGGTACATGTCAGATCGTGGACATGTTAATAACTTTGAGACCTTTCCTTAGGTTTTTGGAGGGGAGTTCTTCGATTTTCTTTCTCTAAATTGACAACGAGAATTAAAAAATTCTCTCAGCAGTAATAACAAACCGAGTCCGTGAGCAGTGTTTGGGGGCAATACATATTCTTATTGGTTACCAACCGACAATCTGCGGGAGATTCTTTTTAACTCCCATAAGTATATACCAACAAAATAAAAACGTAATGAGAACTGTACAATAATTTACAAACGAGAATATATTTACTTACCGGAATTAACTATTTGTCCCAGCTGTAGGATTCGATTGCACAGTTATAAGTTCTACTTTCCTAACAGAAAAATATAATGCTTTCCGCTATTTTCAGCTTCTTATGACATCCCTGAACCTTTGATATAATTTTGTTGCAATACTCGTTCGGAGACCGATCACAGCTCAATCAGCGGACTTTCATATTCAAGTTCACAATTATAGCATCTTGAAGGGAGATGGAGGTCACAGTTTGTTTCGATTTTTAGATCTTGCATATTACTTATTTCAGTTCATAATTCATTTTTGGATATCACAGCGCACGGAGAATGAGGATGGAACGGCCTCGAAACGAAGCAACGACGAGATGCGCCAAGATTCTGCCATCTGACAGAAAATTTGTCGAAGCATATTAATATAAGACACGGCACCGAATTTAATGATGAACCTACATGTAACCGGTTAGCATTTGAATCCGTGCTTATGATGGCCTTATTGACAGCATGAACTAAACTCGTTTAGTTAAGAATACTGTTCTGTATCCATTTTTGTATCGTTTGTTGATCTGTCTATATCCGTCCATTTGGCCTCGTCTTCACGTTGGTGACAATGTGCTCTCTCAGCTCTGATGTTTTCCCTTTTAACCCGTTTCTTTATGGGAATCCTTTCATATTGCCTCGGAAAATGCAGGCACGTGAAATTTGAACTTCGTGATTAGCAAACCACGGTTTCCTGTTCACCTCCTCGGTGTGAACCTTTTCATGTCTTTGTCATTTTTTTGCCCTCTGCACTTCGAAATTAAATTCAAATCAAAGCTATTCATGTGTGCCCATGAATTCTCTCAAGGTGAAGGTGATGCCTCAGCGCCTTCCTGTGTATAGACTCCATCCATCTCCTGCAAGCAACTTCTGAAGTAGAATAAGGCACAATCCTCCACTACGACAAAAAAAAGCTCAAAACCCGCAG